ACACAGCAGGCCAAGCAGCATCAGAGGAACAGGAAAGCTGGCGTTTCAGGTCTGGACTCTTCAGAAGAAGGGTCCAGGCCCGAAACATCAGCTTTCCTGCTCCTCTGATGCTGCTTGGCCTGCTGTGTTCATCCAGCTCCACACCTTGTTATCACAGATTCTCCAACATCGGCAGTTCCTACTATCCAAGAGTTACAGTGGGTATTTGATTGTCCACACACCTTCCCCCACCCCGCTACCCCATAGAAATTCAGGACCAGAATATATTTAATTTTGCTTCCATGATATTACCATAATTTTCACGGACGGAATATCTGGTGAACAAGATGATCCAAGAGAGAGTTCATTCATTTTAAATTATTATGGAGTTTATCTGGTTAACTACCAGTCCCAACATACTTGAATTCAAGAATTGCATTGTTCCCTTCCTGAAGGCCTGTACACTTGTAAAGTGAATATATGAAGACTTTTTGAATGCTTTTAATCTGTTATTCCTCTAACATATGGAATATGTCATCATTTCTGATAGTTTCAGGGTGGCTCTTGTTAGGGAATCCTGTGGATGCTATCAAAACCACTGACATACAGCATCATCTTTTCAAGTTGGGGCTCTGCTGCTTTATCCCTGAAAAATCACCCATCAGGAACAGACCTTTCAACTAAACTTCATTAGCTTTAAACATTTGAAATGCAATTCGATTTTTAGTTCCTTATTATCTGCATTATACATATGGCACTAGAAAGCATTTATTTAACTTTGCTGTTTAAATTGGCATAGCTACCGTGCATCAAGCTCAATCTAATCCTGGTAATAAAAGGATCAAAGATGGATTTCCTAGAACTGCCGCCCCACTTGTGTGGTTTACAATCGCGGATTTGCAAATCTCTGGGGAGATGTAATGATTCAGGTAGCTTAGGGGAAAGTGTGGTGTGACGCACAAAATATCACCATTTTGATGCCTGAGTCTACATGGATAAGCTATTTTTTGCCTGTGTTTTCTTTTTGAAAAAAAAAATTCATGTGTTGTTGCACTTACAATTTTTTTTGTCCCCTATAGGTTTCAGCTGCCAATGGAAACTTGTTCTCTCGCATTGTTCCTTTACTGAACAACCAGCCAATCATCCATCTTGATTATATTGCCACTGATCTGAACCCTGATTCCTTGTCAGCCAATCAGAATCAGCTCCAGGAGCTGTGTGTTTCCATTGATCAGTGGAATCCCCTGAATCCTGCCTCTTCCAATCTGGCCAATGCTCAGCTAGTTACCTGTAACAGTTCAGCGTTTCTTTTTGAGGACCCTCAGACTGTTGTCTCCAATATGGCTGCTGCCTTGAAAGATGGTGGATTTTTGTTGCTGCACACCCTTCTTAAAGGTGAAATCCTGGGCGAGACAATTGCCTTCCTTACAGGAAAGGACCCTAAGCAATCACAGGGGCTTCTAACGCAGGTAAAATAATTTTGACATATGTATTTATATTTGTCCTTTTTAAGCATACCATATACAGCAAACCCAAGATTTAAAAAAAAACTATTTTTGCGGTGATTCTTTAGATGATTTCATAAGCTGAAGAAATAGTTTGCTTTTTCTATCATCATGAACACACATTTAAACTTTTCTTGTATTGATAAGTTAGGCTGTAGTTTACTGAGTAAGAAAATACGTTTGCCATATGTATATACCTCACAACCATAAATTATTTATATATCACCAATTTGAATTTGAGTAACATTTTTGAAAATCTTGTCTTGACCAGTGTACCTTTTTTGAATTGTCTAAAACAACAATAGAGGTGACTTTTTTTAATAAACATGTAATGCATGGATTCTTTGTTCTATTGAGTTTATGTTTGTTTGTTTGTTTTCTTACTGATCTAACTTCTTACAGAACTGAGACCTGATTGCCTGCGTGGCCTTTTGAGCATTTCTTTTTCCTTAAGCTATGTATTTTAACTTCAGTTACAAAATGTCCTGTTGCTCTCCAGATTTATTGATACGAGCTGAATAAACTATCTTGCTGTACTGCTACCTTTTTTGTTTTGTGACACTGTGTTGAATGCAGAGCAAGAAAGAAAGATATCTTGGAGTTGGATGTCATTTTAGCTAAATTTAAATCCCAAATATTTAAATAAACACTAAAGAAAAACCTAGATTCTATGCCTTTTGTTAAATAGTGAACAGAGAAAATCCTGCTGTACCTAGAATATTGTCAAAACTGAGTGACTGGAGAAATCACTTCCCAGCCTAAGTCACTAATACAACTGATGATAATTAGCTAGAATCCTGAAGCAGGAAGTTCATGTCTATTTGAAAACTATTGGGCACAATGTTTTGATTTTTCTTTCTCCCCAGTTTCTGTACTTGGTCATTTTGGTTTGGAAGTGAAACTCGGTGTAACCCACAAAATATGATCTCCAATTTGAATTATCAATTCAGGCAAACTTACAATTTTACAAGCCAGTTGTCTTTCCTTTTCTACAGAGCGAGTGGGCAGAGGTATTTGATCAGGCCTCGCTTGATTTGATTAGCATGAAGAAATCATTCTATGGTTCTGTCATGCTCTTGGGACGCAAGAAGACTGAACCCAAGAACCCAGTTTTCCTGGCAGCCCACCCAACGGATTTCAGCTGGATTGAGCCTTTGAAAGTAAGGAAAATACCTGCATTTTCCTGAGTGATGTGGAACCAAATGATCATCCTGGCAATTTATATCCAACAAGAGATTTAAAGACGTTTTGAAGATTCTCCCTTTTATCATATTTAATGAGAGCAGACCACTGGTCATATCAGCCAAATGCAATGGTGGTGAAATTTTTATCTATCCTACTGCTTTCTCCCTCTGTTTCTCTTGTGAAGGTATGGTTCCAGTTGTGTAATTGGACACCTTAACCAGGTTTTGTGTGTGAGCCTAAATGTTAATAACTGGCAAATGGTACAAGTGAGCTCATCACTGATTTTTACACAGTGTCTTTGGGCCCCTCTCCTAGTGCGAAGGGCTGGCAACACAAACCAGATGTCCACCACCTAACCTGTGACCACACGTTCTTGCTGCTTATGGATTGTTAACTCACTGGAGAAAGTATCTGAGCTAGCAGAGTTACCTTTTGAGGAACTTGACTTGTACGCAGAGCCAGACAATGCCAAAAGCTTGATTTGAGTCCACTTTTTTCCATTATTGTGTTCTGTAATAAATCATAATGGTTTCGCCACTGTTAGCACAGTGGCCACTTGGAACCCATGCTGTGAAATTCCCACCCGAAGCTCCTGTAGTCCATAGGGCCCATAATTCACCTTGAGGACCCTCCATAAAATCCACTTCTATTTTATGTGGTGAATCTTCCTGTAATCTCCTCTGCTGACGCAGCATCCATTTTTTTTATTTGGTCGTGCTTCTGTGAACCACCTTGGGTTATTGCTCAATGTTAAACATTTACAATTAAGCTCAATGAGGTCACTAACATTTTGGAATCGCCCAGTCCTGAATTGAAGAATCAACTGCTATGGGCCATTCTGGTTTCTATAAATGTTTATTCTCTTGCAGAAAATCTTAGAAGACCCTTCAGAAGATCCAGTCTGGCTTACGGTCACTAATTGTGGCAATTCAGGAATTGTTGGAATGGTGAATTGCCTTCGTCAGGAACCATATGGACATAGAATACGGTGTGATTTTTATCCATTAACAATTAATAATTGCTTTTAAAAAAGAGATTCAGGACAATGGTACAATGGTACCACACATCTGAATGCCTTTCTTTAAACCATTTATTAATATTATATTTAATAAAACAGTTTGGCTTTTACATTTATTTTTCAGCCAGTTTAGAATAATGACTTTAATTCTTTCAAAAGCAAAACCCTTTAACTTTTCCTTCAGTAGAAGCTTACTGTACTGAAATCACTTTAAAGTTCTGATCTGGAATAAACCATTCTGAAAGGCTGTGGAAGCAGATTTAATGGCAACATTCAAGAGATGTTGGGTGCATACTTGACCAGCTTGGTTTCTCTAGCATTTTTTGTTTTTATTTCAGATTTTTGAGCATTTGCAGCAATTTTTGTTTTTATTTGGGATATATAGTGACGAATTCATTTAGGCTCTGTTTAACTTTGCTTATTTGCTGGAAATGTAGTCAGAACCTGGTATTTAATAGGTTGATTTTTAATTTGGAAAACAACTGGTGTGGTGAGCTGTTCTTTGGCTGTTTTTCCTGTGGCAATTATTGACATAAGTTCAGCTCAAATGTGTGCTCTTAATAGCACGAGCTTGATCTGCATTGTACGGAAAGATGCCAAAGGGTCCCAGCCTGAGGTTGGAGATTGAGAACAGGATTAATACAGCTATTTGATCAGAAGTGGGGGTGGGCAGGTGTAGCAGAAAGGTACAGTGAGAAAGTATCATCAATGGAGGAAATAAAAACAAAACAAGCTACAAAGTGAGATGAAAGTAGTGTTATGGAAAAGTTGAAATGTTATTTCAAAAGAAAAAAAGACGGAAGCTTGAAAAATCAGGCTAAATGTTTTAAGAAGTTACAGCCAGGATTGAATAGTATAAATATGAATGCACAAAATATTCACGCCAAAAATTGAAAGGTGAAACATATCAATTACTAAAATAATTATCAGGGGCAACTCTTAAATACACTAATTGTGTCAATGGAACACAGAATAAAGGGTAGGAAGAATCAGAAGCTATAGACTGTAACATGAGATCTATTTAACGTTTGAAATACATGGTTTGGTTAGCAAAGTACAGGCATAAACTTCCTGAAGGCAAAAGCTTAATTTTTAATATTCATTGGCAATATTGAATTGAATAGCTGTGTTATACCTTCTATGATTTTCCTGTTAATGAACTACATCTTAGCATAAAGTCTATAAAACAAGTTTGATAGCACAGAAAAACTGTCAAAGAAACAACATTTGACATATATTCAGGTAGTTTAGATCATCTGAATTGTGCTATTTACTTTAGTTGATAGGTTTTACAGTACACTGGCATGAACCTGCAGACATGTTTATTTTAAAAAAATTATCTGTCCTCAGGTGTGTATTTGTAACAAATTTAATCTCTTCCTCGTCTGTTCCATCCCTGGATGCTTGTGGAAAGGACATGAAGGCCATTCTCCAAAATGACTTGGTGATGAATGTCTATCGCGATGGACATTGGGGGAGTTTCCGACACATTTTCAAACAAGGTATGCAATCACGTTCAATGTCAATATCATGAAATGAATTTGGTCTGTTTAACAAAGATTCTTCTTGCCTTATTTATTTTGTATATAGAAAAGAATGGATCACTAATTGAATTTATGGCTTTCCATTTTCACTGCCACGGTATAACTGACTTGATCTCTATCAACTGCATCACACAGAAGTGGAAGGCTATGGAACCAGAATTAAGCCAGATTTTCAAATGCCAGCATGATTGACACGTGGTGTGGGTATGGTTTCATAATTGTGGTCCCAGGGATCATCTTGGGATTTGGATTTCAGTAGATTTTCAAACTTTCAAGCGGCTGGCAGAGTGAGGGAATGGGAAACATGCTTGCCTCCATCTAATGGCCCACTAATCTCCTCCAAGTGCTTGATAATAGGCAAGGGTTGTTAAAACAGTTTTTCTGGTGAACTTGACTATTCTGATGCATGTTAGTGCCCAGCCGGACGGATCTTCAGAAAATTTTTTTTGCTTTGGATGAACCAAACTATGCCAGTACCTTCATCCAGCCTTTATGGTTATGTTCATTCACCTCAATGATGCTGACCCCCTGACAAATTGTCTGCTGTCCCTGGCAGGCCCTGTCATGGCTGCTACCTGATTTGGCTCTGGCACTGGGGAGGCCATTCATGCTTGACATTCAGACCACTGAATGTCCCTAATTGGGCAGCTAGCTCAGCAATTTAGGGTGTTTACATTTAAAAACATCATCATGTGAGCAACACAGTTTACATGCAGCTGCAGGATCTAGATTTAACCTGGATTTTGGGTTCGGAGGTCTTCCCTGAAAATCCATTGTCTCTGTATTTGTCCCCATTCAGTTGCTCTGTGTCATGAATCTGGCAGTAAACCTTTGGTAGCTCTTTACTATCTTGAGAGTCCTGTTTTTCCAGCTTGAGTGTGGATCTTTAGAGTGGGTGCTAGCAAGTCCCTGTGGGATAATTCTGGTGGAAAAGGAGCAACTCAGGTAATTGGTGCCTTAATTTAGTAGCTTGTTGTGAGAGGAACAACCTTCATTATCTCAGCTTTTCTTGTTTTCATAGTGTATTATCTTTTAACATTGCATTGCTAGCAGGAAGGAAGAGACATGAATTGTGAGAAAAAATAGGAATAAAAGGGAATAGCACCATTACAACTTGCTTTTTTTCAAAAAAAGGGGAAAGCCAAAGCAGGGGCATTTTGTATTTGACTTCTCTTGCTGTCTTGTTTGCTCTGTTGTGTTGCATTATGCGGGTAAGCCATTCTAAAACAAACTTCGCCAACCTTGTGCTTCAGTTTCCATTGAGTACAGTTACTATTGGGCATATTTTAATGTACTTGTGAAATGATTTTATAACCTCCTGGAAGATTAAAGTGGCTGCAGATGTTTAAACATCTGTTCCTTTTCTTTTCAAAAAGGATAAATTGGAATGAAAGCCCCGACTGTTCTCTGGGTAATCCACATTGCAGGAAGCATTGCGTTAGTGGACTATGAGAATAATTAGATCATTAAGGGTTCACCTGTAAGTGTCAGCAAGTTACTATTAATGCAGCAGCCTGCCAGCGTGCCAATGATCTCACATTGTGGAGATCCCTCAAAGTTTCTGAGCCTTCTGCAGCATTTAACTATTCTAAACAATGTCACAAAGGACATTTTGTGTTGCTGTAGCGGTTGTGCATTGTCTTCCACAGCCTTTGACTCAACAAACCAAACCATCAGGTTTCCTCTGCTGTTCAATTCAGCAGGATTGACATTTGTTTAGTTCCACTTTTAACTACCTGATTATAGCCCAACCATCTCTATCAATTGGTTGCCTTCCCACTTCTGCACTGTTGATGTCAGTGTTCCCCAAACATCTGTCCTTTACCCCTCCTCTTCCTTATGTGCTAACCCCTTGGCAACATTGTCTACCAACGTGGGGTCAGCTGCAACATCAAAGATGGTAATGTTATTTGGGGAAGTGGTGGCATAGTGATAATATCACTGGACCAGCAATCCAGAAGCCCAGGCCAATGTTGTCGGCATGTGGGTACAAATTCCACCATAGCAGATGGTGAAATATGAATTCAGTTTAAAAAGTCTGGAATAAGGAATTGGCAAATGGTGACCATATAACCACTATCAATTGTCATAGAGACTCATCTGGTTCACTGATATAGTTTATGGAAGGAAATCAACCATCCTTACCTGGTCTGGCCTACATGTGATTGCAGACTCAATAATGATGTGACTCTTAACTGCCTTTGGGCAATTTGGGATTGGCCAGCATTTGTTGTCCAGTTAGCGATGCATGCCCATATTAATAATAAATCTACTGCTGCCTTTCCGTTTCCAGTTATGACCCATCCACTGTGCTCACTTGACGCTCAGTCTCAAATGAGCCACAATTGCAGTGGCCTGCAAAAAAAATCTCTACCATGTTTACTGAGTGTGAGAATGGTCAGTAGATAGGGGAAAAAATTAGTGGGGCAATAATATTTGACTTCCTTTCCAGAAAAGCCTGTTTACCTTGGGGATGATATGTCATGTTACTCCAGGAACATGCCCTGGCTTTCCAACATCCTGCTTGCTTTCAGTGGAAAGCAGTGAAAAAATGGGTTTTGTCCTTTCAGATCAAAATAAGGAACAGACGGAGTTTGCCTATGTAAATGTGCTGACTCGTGGAGACTTGTCATCCCTCTGTTGGATTTTATCACCACTGCAACACTTCACTTCCAATGATCCTAATATTCAGTTGTGCAAGGTGTATTTTGCTTCTCTCAACTTCCGTGATATCATGCTGGCAACGGGCAAGCTGCCACCTGATGCTATCCCTGGTAAGACCACTGAATTATCATTTTAACTCTTATAGACTTGAAAATGATTGTCCTGTTGCACCTCCTTGGATTTTAGAATCAGCGCACCCAAAATGTTCTGAATGGAAGTGCAAGCCCAGAATGAGGTGCTGTCAGAGAATCTGATGCTCAATGTTGGGATGGGTGGCTGAGGAGACTGGGGGACAGATTACAAGGGAGGAATGTGAATGTATTTCTCCCATTTAAATAGAAGTTAGGAAAAAAAAATTTAAAAAAAATTGCCTGCACCTTAAAGGTAAAATATTGTAGATGTTGGAAATCTGAAACAAACATCACAAATACTGGGGAAATTCAGCAGATGTGACAGCATCTATCAAGAGAGAGTTGATGTTTTGAGTCTGGTATGACTCTTCTTCAGAACTCCTGTTTCTTCTCTTCAGAGTTCTGAAGAAGATTCACATCAGACTTGAAGCGTTAACTCAGTTTCTCTCTCCACAGATGCTGCCAGACCTGTTGAGTTTCTCCAGCAATTTCTGTTTTTTGTTCCTGAAAAAACTCCAGGTCAGGTGAGAAAAGGAGTTAATGTTTCTGGTTACAATTACCTCTGGTTCTTGTGAGCTGAAATGTTAATTCTCTTTCCACAGGTGTTGCCTGCGCTGCTGAGTTTTTCCCAGTGTTTGTTCTCTTCTTTTAGTTTCAGATTTCCTGCATGGGTAGCATTTTGCTGCTGTATAAATGGAAATAGTTCTTGGGTCGTGAGAGCCTACCCCTCCTGCCTTTCTGCAGAATTTCCTTTTGACACATTTGATTGCAAGCTTTGGATGTATCTGGGTGCTGCCTTAACCTTGCCAGTTCAGAATTTTTTGTTGGAAATGTAATGCTGTTCAGTTTAAACCAAATCAGCGGGCATTTCAAGAGAAAAAAATTAAGCACTGTCCCAAACCCTCTTGTGTCCTACATATTAAAAGAAATGAGGGATGTAGAGGGTAATTTTAACGTGATCCATCTATCTAGGATACCTGCAGGTCAAGTGCAAGACTAGTTTTACATCCTGCCCAACATTATTCCACATCAACCTGGATGGAGTATAGAATCGGGAGGAGTGTGAAAACAACATCCTACTTGATCCCAAGGGCTCACCCTTAAAACTGCAACAGAGTCTGGGTGAGAGGTGCAGAGTTACCATTCCCAAATACATGTTCCTTACTAAGTTGTCGGTACAGCTCAGCTTTTCTAGTGTCTTTTCCCACCGTTTGCCTTTCAAACATCCAGAATCGAGCTTAATTTCTTATGTACTGTGAATTTAAATTTTGTTTCCCAGGTGATGCAGCTTTGCAGCACTGCCTGTTAGGAATGGAATTTTCAGGTCGTGACCCCAGAGAGAGGAGAGTGATGGGACTGCTCCCTGCCAAGGGGTTGGCAACAGTTGTTGATTGTGACATGCGATTCCTGTGGGATGTCCCAGAAAATTGGTATGTGTTTAACGTCATTTCTGAAGAACATAAACTCTGTTAACATTGTCAAAATGGCATTTATTTGGACAACATTGTTTGGGCACTGTAACATTCTACATCCATCAATTGCTGGGTCACATGATTAAAATGCACAAAGAATTTTGAATAGAAACATTGAACCCAATGGGCAACACCTTTTTTTTAAGAAGAAAGGACAAAGGAATTACATTTACGAATTTGTGCAGAATATTCTTTCAATGGAGTGTGTATTTGAATTTGTTGAGACAGTGGGGATTTAGAAATTTCTATTTAAATAAGAGCTTCTATTTATAAAGCTTTCCTTATCACGTCTCCCTGATGTTCCAGTATTTTATGTCTTATAAGGACTTCTGAAGTTTTCAAATTTATTCATGGGATTTGGGCATTACTGGCTGGGCCAGTGTTTATTGTCCGTCTATTTGAGAAGGTGGTGATGAGCTGCCTTCTTGATTCGCTGCAGTCCATTTGGGGTATTATACCCACAATGCTGTTAGGGAGGGAATTTCAGGACTTTGAGCCAGCAACATGGGGGGAACAGCACTATATTTCCAAGTCAGGATGATGAGTGGCTTGGAGGGGAACTTGCCAGTGGGTGGTGTTTCCATTTATCTGCTGAACTTGTTCTTCTGGTGGTTCTGGGTTTGGGAGGTGCTGTTAATGAGCCTTTGGTGAGTTTTTATAATGCATCTTGTAGGTGGCACAGACTGCTGCTACTGAGTGTCGGTGGTGGAAGGGCTGAATGTTTGTTTGTGAATGTGTTGCCAATTAAGTGGGTTGCTTTGTGCTGGATGGTGAAGCTTCTCGTGTTGCTGGAGCTTTACTCATCCAGGCAAGTTCCATCATACTTTGGACGTGCCTTCTGCATGATGGACAGGCTTTGGATAGTCAAGAGGTGACTCAGTTTCACTTTGGTTTCTGGCCAATGGTAAACCCCAGGATGATGAATCTGGGGGAATTCATCAATGGCAATGATATTGAATGCCAAGTGGTGGTGGTTGGATTCTTTCTTGTTGAAGAAGGGCATTTGACTGGCATTCGTATGGTGTGAATGTTACTTTCCGATTATCAGTCCAAGTCTGGATATCGTCTGGGTCTTGTTGCCTTTGAACACGGACTGCTTCAGTATCTGAAGAGACTCGAATGGTGCTCAATGTTGTGCAATCATTGGCGAACGTCCCCACTTCTGACCTTATGATCGAAGGAAGGTCACTGATGAAGCAGCTGAAGATGGTTGGGCCTAGGATACTACCCTGAGGAACACCTGCAGAGATGTCCTGGAACCAAGATGGCTGACCTCCAACAACCATCTTCCTATGTGACAGATATGACTATAACAAGTGGAGAGTTTACCCTCTGATTGTGTTTGACTCTGTTTTGCCAGGGCCCTCCAATGCCTCACTCAACCAAATGTAGCTTTGAATTCAAGGGATGTCACTCTCACCTCACCTTTGGAATTCGGCTCTTTGGTCCATTTTGAACCAAGGCTGTAATGAGGTCAGGAGCTGAGTGGCCCTGGCGGGATGCAAATTGGGCATCAGTGAGCAGATGCTCCTTGATAGCACCATTGGTAACACCTTCCATTACTTTACTGATGATTGGGAGTAGACTGATGGGGTATTATTTGGCCAGGTTGGATTTGTCCTACTTTTTGTACAGGACATAGCTGGGCAACATTCCACATTGTTGGATCGATGCCACTGCTCTAGCAGTACTGTTAAAGGTTGAGTACGTGTGTGGCAAGTTCTGGACCACAGTCTTCAGTCCTATTGTCTGAATGCTGTGTTGGAAATACAATTCTGCAGCTCCTAATGGCCTAATGTGCCTCATGGATGCCTGATCTCGAGTTGCTACATCTTGTTTTTTTCACATAGTGATAGTACCGTTTAATACTGTTGGCAGTTGTATTTAGGATACTGATGTGTTCAGGTTACAAAAATGGCCAAAGACCGACTAGGATACAATTTGCTTTTTAAACATGCATTGCTCTTTTATGTTCTTTCTTGGTTGTCTGCTCTGAAAAAGAGTGTGTTGTCAGCTGAAACACTAGGACAGAGTTACTCCTGTTTTGTCCCAGTGTGATGCTCCTTCTCATGGCTTGACCTGATAAAATTCATTCCTGTTGAGTGTAATGTGCAGCGTTAGATTGTGGTTGTGATCCTAACACTTTAATCCTTTTTGAAGAAGATCCTGGATTAACATGGGAGTTACCATGGAGCCTTAATTTTACACCTCAATGCAGAACTGAAGATATTAAAAATGGTCCCACATTCTTATGCTCTATTACACAGTGTCTCATCTACAACCAATTAGGTTTCCCACATAGTATGACCTTCCTTTTAAAACTTGACACAGGTAAATATTTGTACTCTTTGACATTTTTCTCCTTTTTTCTTCCCTTTCTTATGAAAGTTAATGGCAACAGCGACCCTCTCTGACCATGTGGTTGTTAGTTTGGATTTGAGGTTATACAGGTGTTTGGCTGTTTAGTTGTTAATTGAAACCTATTCTGTCCTCGTTCAAAGTTTCTCTTTCTCATGTGCATACACACAATTTAGAACAAGAGCTTGGCAATTTTTTCTTTCTTTTCATGAGATGCAGCCGTCACTTGCTAGGCCAACAATTATTGCCCATCCCTAATTGCTCAGAGGGCAATTATGAGTTAACCACATTGCTGTGGGTTTGCAGTCGCACGTAGGCCAGACAAGGTAACCACCTGGAGGTCTAAGGAGTTGATATTTGGTTGTCTCATAGTCGTACAGTTATACGGCACAGAAACCGACCCTTCAGTCCAACTCGTCCATGTCGACCAGATATCCTAATTTAATCTACTCCCATTTGACAGCATTTGGCCGCTATCCCTCTTAAACCCTTCCTATTTGTATACCCATCCTGATGCCTTTTTAAATGTTGCAGTTGTACCAGCCTCCACCACTTCCTCTGGCAGCTCATGCCATACATGCACCATTCTGCATGGAAAAGTTGCCCATTTTAAATCTTTTCCCCTGTCCTCTTAAACCTGTGCCGTCTAGTTTTGGACTCTTCCCACCCCAGGGAAAAGACCTTGTCTATTTAACCTCTATAAGGTCACTCCTCAGCCTCCAGGGAAAATAGCCCCAGCCTACTCAGCCTCTCCCTACAGCTCAAACCCTCCAACCCTGGCAAGATCCTTCAAATTTTTTCTAATCCCTTTCAAGTTTCACAACCCTGCCTATATCGGGGAGACCAGACTTGCACGCGGTATTCCAAAAGTGGCCTGTACATCCACATGTCCTCCCAACTCCTATACTCAATGCACTGACCAATAAAGACAAGAATACCAAACACCGCCTTCACTATCCTGTCTACCTGTGGCTCCACTTTCAAGGCACTATGAACCTGAACTCCAAGGTCTCTTTGTTCAGCAACACTCCCCAAGACCTTACCATTAAGTATATATGTCCTGCCCTGATTTGCCTTTCCAAAATGCGGCACCAGTTTCATTATAGCTTTTCTAATAAGCAGAAAATTGCAATGTCACTTATTCATTCTTTGGCCTTTATTAAGGACTTTGGAGGAGGCTGCTTCAGTGCCAGTTGTTTATGCAACTGCATATTATGCGCTAGTGGTGAGAGGTCGCATTAAGAAGGGTGAGAGTGTACTTATCCATTCGGGATCAGGTGGAGTTGGACAGGCTGCCATTTCTATTGCCCTCAATTTGGGATGTCGTGTCTTTGCTACTGTTGGTAAGTGAAATTACATTATTTTTGGGCATGAGTGGGTTTTATTATTAGGCAATAATATTAAAAGGGCATAAACTAATCCTTGAATGGATATATCTGTATTGGTGTGATGTGTTGCCTAGTATTAACAACTCAGTTTAAAAGAAACGTTGCTAATTATGTTTTGCCGGATACATGCATATGAATGTAATGTGAATGATTATTAAAGTCACTGATACTCCAAGTTGGAGTTAAATAAGATAGAATCAAGTCTATTAAGAGGTTTGATATTTGTACTCATTATTTATTTAATCTGGATTTTAACTTGATTCAGGATCAATCAAAATTTTTAATGAATAAAGCATGCAGTGGATGTGGCTGTACGTTAGGATTTCTAGTTTTTCATACCAGCTGCTAAAGAACTTCAGCAATTAATCTGCAGCAAATATATCCATTTGCTTTTCAATTAAAATGACACGCTTGTCCAACCTACATCACGTATACAGAAGACATAGCTGTTGCGGATGACTCATTGGAGAGGGGACTTCTGAGTATAGAGAACCAGGATTTGGGAGCTTTATTATAATGTGAGATAGTTGGTTTAAATTAACTGTACAGTGACTGACCAGTTGTCTAATTACACTCTTCAGGTTCAAGGGAAAAGCGTGTATATCTTCAGCAACGTTTCCCACAATTGAATGACGAATCTTTTGCAAATTCAAGAGACACTTCCTTTGAACAGCATGTGCTGCGAGCAACTGGTGGCAAAGGTGAGCTCTTGGATGTTTGCTTTAGAAGAACTGTATCATAAATAGCCCAATACCATTGTGGTAAGAGAGCTTGCTAGCTTTACAATGTAGCAGATGTTGATTAAAATCATTAGCCTAACTTTTACTTGATTTGCCCACTTTAGGCAAATTCAGATGAAACTTAAATGGTCTATGACAAGAGACTGATTTGTGTACATTAGAACACTTTTAAATGAGATTATTAGAACCTATCATTATCTGAATTTCTTCTGTCGCTATTATAAGATGTGTAATTATGTTGCAGAGCAGTTTGTAATTACATCTTAAAGGAAAGAAAAGGAAGGCTGAGTGCCTGTTTTCATGAACTGAAATCTGGTATAGCGCTCTGCTCCTTTCAAGGTGAACAAAACCAGTGGAATAGGTTTTGATTCCTTTGGATTTGAATGACAAAATTGTGTTGCTACCCTTTTTTTCACGTTGGGAAGAAAGCCTCAAGTCAATCATGCATCAGGAAAACTAGCTGTTCAGTTTCATTTGTGAATCTTCCAAACCACAATTGTAACATTATCTAAAACCTGCCACTATGAATCAGATTTTAAATTCTCTGTGCTACTACTTGGATCTAAAGCTTTTCCTGTCGAATTAACTTGCAAGAGTATTTTTTATGGATTTTGCCATCTTTGACATTTTACTTTTGAACATATTTCCCTGCAAACAATCTGATTTGCACTTGCAGCAACCAATATAGTGGTAGTCATTTAAAATTGATACGTTTATCTTTTTTACAAGATTGTCCCTTTCTGATAGTCTTGATGGAAACATGAGGGGTTGTAATTATTCATTCAGTTGCCCAGATCATGGAAAAGTTTGAAAGTAACTGGTAAACTAGAGAAATACTTAATGTATTTATATACATTTTAGATCAAATGACAGGTTTTGGAATTGAAATTAATTAGTGGAAATCTCCATCTGGGTCCTCCCAGGTGTGTCCCTGCTTTGGTCACATCACAATAGACCAATATGAAGTAAAGGTAAAGTCACCATAGTCCTAACAGAACATAGGACTGTTCTCACTAGAAGGAGACCACTGGTGGTAGTTTAAACTGAGGATTACCACACCTCAGACCAGGAGAAGGGTTGAGAATGGGAGTCCTTCATTGTAACCTCAGCCAATGATAGGAATTGAACCCACACTGTAGACGTCACTCTGCGTCATAAACTGGCCATCCAGCCAACTGAGCTAACCAGTCCCGAATAGATTTTATTGTGATTGCTGCTCTGAGAGGTTGTTTGATGTCTTCACTACATTAGTGATTGATTGTGTAGAGTAATGTCCCCTGTAGGTTGTTAGATAATCTAATTATGTGATGCCATTACCCATAGGAGTGGACCTGGTACTGAATTCACTAGCTGAAGAGAAGCTGCAGGCCAGTGTCCGTTGCCTGGCTCGACATGGACGTTTCCTGGAGATTGGCAAATATGACCTTTCTAATAACAATCCACTTGGTAAGCTGTCTATAGTAAAAAGCAAATTGAGTAGCTACTAATAAAACAATGGGCTCCAAACTTAATACTTTTCCATAAACTTGCATTCAAAAGCATTTTAATCAGTGAAAAGTTGAACTGAAGCCATTTCCAATATTCACTTAGATAACAAGGTGTACAGCTGGATGAACACAGCAGGCCAAGCAGCATCAGAGGAGCAGGAAGGCTGATGTTTCGGGCCTAGACCCTTCATCAGAAATGGGGGAGGGGAAGGGGTTTCTGAAATAAATAGGGAGCGAGGGGGAGGCGGATAGGTGGAGAGGAAACAGACAGGTCAAAGGGGCGGGGATGGAGCCAGTAAAGGTGAGTGTAGGTGGGGAGTTAGGGAGGGGATAGGTCAGTCCAGGGAGGACGGACAGGTCAAGCGGGCGGGATGATGGGGGTGGGGCTTGAGGTGGGAGGAGGGGATAGGTGGGAGGAAGGACAGGTTAGGGAGGCGGGCACGAGCTGGGCTGGTTTTGGGATGCGGTAGGGGGAGGCGAGATTTTGAAGCTTGTGAAGTCCACATTGATACCATTGGGCTGCAGGTTTCCCAAGCAGAATATGAGTTGCTGTTCCTGCAACCTTCGGGTAGCATTGTTGTGGCACTGCAGGAGACCCAGGATGGACATGTCGTCTGAGGAATGGGAGGGGGAGTTGAAATGGTTCGCGACTGGGAGGTGCAGTTTATTGTGAACCGAGCGTAGGTGTCCTGCAAAGCGGTCCCCAAGCCTCCGCTTGGTTTCCCCGATGTAGAGGAGGCCACAACGGGAACAGCGGATGCAGTATAACAATCCCTCTTCCGTACCCACACTGGCCCTAAACCCCACCATCTCTTCTTCCGTTACATTGATGACTGTATCATCGGCGCTGCCTCGTGCTCCCACGAGGAGCTCGAACAGTTCATCTACTTCACCAACACCTTCCACCCCAACCTTAAGTTCACCTGGACCATCTCCAATACTTCTCTCTCCTTCCTGGACACCTCTGTCTCCATCTCTGGCAACCACCTAGAAACCGATATCCATTTCAAGCCCACCGACTCCCACAGCTACCTAGAATACACCTCCTCCCACCCACCTTCCTGCAAAAATGCCATCCCCTATTCCCAATTCCTTCGCCTCCGCCGCATCTGCTCCGAGGATGAGGCATTCCACTCCCGTACATCTCGGATGTCCTCATTTTTCAAGGACCGCAACTTCACCACCACCACCACCACCTCAGTTCCACCTCAGTGGTCGAGAACGCCCTCGACCGTGTCTCCCGCATTTCCTGCAACTCATCCCTCGCACCCCCTCCCCGCAATAACAACAAAAACAGAATCCCCCTTGTCCTCACGTACCACCCCACCAACCTCCAGATCCAACGCATCATTCTCCGACACTTCCGCCATCTGCAATCCAACCCCACCACCGAAGACATTTTTCCCTCCCCACCCTTGTCTGCTTTCCGGAGGGACCACTCTCTCCAGGGCTCCCTTATCCGCTCCACGCTCCCCTCCAGTCCCACCACACCCGGCACTTTTCCCTGCAACTGCAGGAAGTGCTGCACCTACACCTCCCACCTCACCCCCATCCCAGGCCCGAAGAAGACTTTCCATATCAAGCAGATGTTCCACCGCCTCCAATATTCACTTGTCTTTTCCTCGTTTAAGTCATGGGCTCAATGTTAGAAGGTGCTGGTAATGAGCATACATAATTTTCAGGTATGGCTGTCTTCCTGAAGAATATTGCATTCCATGGAATTCTCCTGGATGCTCTGTTTGAAGAAGGAAACAAGGAATGGGAAGAAGTGTCTGAGCTCCTGAAGGATGGAATACGCAGCGGAGTGGTCAAACCCTTGAAGACCACAGTGTTCGACCGAGATGATGTGGAGTCTGCTTTCCGTTTTATGGCACAGGGTAAACATATTGGAAAAGTTGTGCTGAAGGTGAGGGGAGAAAAAAACATTTTGGTTATGTTGCTTTTCACTTCTGGAGAAAGCTCTATCCGAGCCTGCTGCTTTGAACTGGGACAATAACCGATTAGAAACTCCTTTGTGAGAAAAGCCAGCATTGCACTTTGTCAAATATTTTGAGTCTATCTCAGACTGTCAGATATTAGCTGTCTTCTAATCACCCCACGTAATAGCCATGTCAAAAATTGACTGACAGAAATGATTGTGTTATAGGTTGAAGTTAAAGAATTGGGAATGGGACAAACCGAGATATTGAATCTGGAAAGATGGGTTTGTGAAGAAAATACTTCAATCTTTTTAAATACTATAACTTGAACGTCCTTTACTGCTTTCAAAAGAAGTGTTCACCGAATAACTTCTGCCACACCTCTAAGGAGAAAATAATGAAGTCAGCAAACCTATCGATCTGGGTTTTAGGCTTACAACACTGGGCCACTGAGGATTCAGCAGGATGTCTGGCCATGATCTGTCTTATGCTGGGAGAAGCGGGTGCAGGCACCTGGGCAGCCAATCTGTCCTTGGTTTATTGAGGTTGTGCCTGCTGAGACCCTTTTAAGTGGCTATTAATTGAACTGTTGAGGGCTTCACCTTGCTCCTGCCAGAGTTTCACCTGCAGCAAGATGTAGTTCACGCTACGCAGGCAGCCCAGCAGCTGTACCTGTGCAGGCTGGTGATAGGGGTGGCAGTGTGGAAGACCTCCTTTGTGAGCTTCCTGGAGCTATCTGAGGCACCTTGCAAGCATCCCTCACACTCACGGACCTGAAATGTTAGCGGTTTCTTTCTCCATAGATGCTGTCAGACTTGAGTCTTTCCAACAACTTTTGTCTAATTTATTATAGCTGAACAGCAGAGTTGGTTTTGGATTGTTTTAGCAAAGTGGAGGCTCAAACAGAACAAGACAAATGACCTCCTCCTATGTGATAATTCTTAGGCAGATATGATTTCCATGCAGCACTTTATTCTGTCATCAGCTGAGAAGCTGGGGTCTGAAGTATTGGGACCCAAGAATATTAAGACTGCTAACACTTTCTGTGGGATAAATGGTTTAAAACACATTTTTGATGTTAAGTAGGTGGACTTTTTATTGTGACTGTTAGGAAAGTTCACGTGACATAAGAACAGTTTAAAATTCTTCATTCTAAGTAAATGAATAAGGGAACCTTGCTTCATTTTATCCCCTATTCCTTAATAGCCATTGTCAAGTATTTATCCATCATTCCTCAAAATGTGCAGATAATGTGATCGGCTCCTATTCTTGTTACCACCTATGCACGAAGAGATTTAAAACATTAGGCAAAACATCGGTTTTCCGAACTTTCAGTCAATCAGACAGATTTTGGATTTTTTTGCAATTTTATAGACTGATACAAGATTTGTTTTCTAAGCTCATTAAAGAAACATCACCATATTTTAACAATTGCCCTTAAGATGTCCATTTGGCTGTGACCAGTTTAGTTTTACACTTTTTTTTCAGCCCATCAAAGATGAGTGTTCTGTTCTCCTTTGCAGTCGCCTTCTCCCTTCTTCATGAATAATTTATGTATCTACCACCTCTTTCTCATCTTTTAAGTTACAACATTGTTTTGGGCATGGACATCTGCAGATTCATTTTGTCAATCCTGACAAGTAAGTTATTAGTCATCATATTCCCCTCTGTCACCTATCTTCCCCTCTGTCACCTATTTTGCCGATTTTATGTTTGGAAACCATGGTTCTCTTTCCTTTCCTTGCATTTCTCTTCTCTGTGATCTTATTTTAGATTTTAAAAAAATTTCTCTTTCCGCTGTTCCTGACATTATCCATTCTCCTTCACAGTGCCTTTATATAATTAGACATATTGTCCTGCAATTCCTTGTCAAAGCAGTCTATGCATATTTGTTCCTCATGTAGAAGGTCCAAGAGTTTCAGCCACTGCGTGGGCAAACATTTGAAGCCAGTCACCTCAGATGGATGAGTTTTGTTTGTCACTAGCTGGATTGTGAGGTGGAATTTGGAACCGAGAGAAAAGAGGGAAACTACTTTTGCTGTCCACACTGTGGTGTTGGGATGTTCTTTTCTAGCTGACGGTAAAGCAGTTTTAATGATGTTTAGTGGTGGATAGATGTAATTAATCACATCACATTTAAAAGAAATGTAATTGCATGTCACTAATCAGGTTCGAGAAGAAGAAGGTAGATCCCCTTCTGCACATTCAGAACAGCTCGCCATTGCTGCTGTCCCCCGTACTGCCTGTCCTGCAGCAAAGTCATACATCATCACAGGAGGTCTCGGAGGGTTTGGTTTGGAGCTGGCAAATTGGCTGATCGAGAGAGGTGCTCACAAACTTGTCCTGACATCTCGCTCTGGAATACGCAATGGCAAGTGGTCAAATTTTTATTGCTGATTGTGGAATCTTACAGTGTGTAATATGGCTGTGTGTTTTCCTTAACTAGTAATAGTAACTTTGGAGTAGTTAATTTAGTTGTATCTGGAAAATTATCTTTAAGAATGAAGATGCCAAATTGATGCAAGACTGCTTGTCAAACATGAAATATGAATGCTGTATCGGATATGTTTTCTTTTAGCATTTCTGGAACAGCTCGTTGGCTAAAAACAACTTGGCTGTTGAATTTTTTTTGTGGTTTTTGAAAGGTCCAGTTGAGAAAGGATTATGCTACCTTTTGGGTTATATTTTACTTGTTTTGACTATTGCTACCCTTCATGTAGAATTACTGTAGTATTACAGGCACTAAGTCTGGCTTGAATTTTCTATTAGCTGGACTAAAATTTCTATTGTTTGCCATTTTTTAAACTAAAGAATGCAAATAATGGCAATAATTTGTGATGCCTGAACACTTGTTTCATCATGTGTTGTCTACTTGTCCATATTCCAACTTGTAATGTGCCTTTACTCTTGATGTTCCATGCATGTCTTCATCTGCTCAAAAGCTTTAAGCTCCCTTTGACCTTCATCCTTCAAGTGTTTGAGGAAATAGTGGAACCTTGACATCACTGGTGACTTTTAGCATTTGTTGAATTGGGTTTATTTAATGGCTGCACTGGACAGAAATTTGTAACTTAATAATTAATTCTAATTGTTACAGGGTACCAGGCTAAGCGGGTACGTGAATGGAGGGATATGGGCATTGAAGTCCTCATTTCTACCAGTGATGTCTGCTCTTTAGAGGGTACACAGCATCTTATTGCAGAAGCCTCTGGTCTTGGCCCTGTGGGTGGCATTTTCCATCTTGCCATGGTGAGTGCAGAGTACAGCATTGTGTTGTAATTAAAACAGATCATCCTTGCATCCAGGGATAATTCAGTTAGACAGATTTCAAGAATTAACTCGCTTTGGCACATTTGGCCTGAGTTAACATTTATTTTTCCTTTTGACAACAGCCTGTTTTCACGTCCTGCGTATCAAGAAATGCCCAATCCAAGCCAATGCCCAATTTACTGCAAAGATTGTTGGCCCTGACAATATTCATCAAAAGTACTTAAGATGTATGTTCCAGATCTTGCCATGCCTTTTGCCAAGCTGTTCCAACACAGCTACAACACTAGTATCTACCTGACAATGTGGAAAGTTGCCCAGGTATGTCCTGTGCACAAAATGCAGGACAATCCAACTCGACAATCATTGCCTTGTCAGTTGACTCTCAATCATCAGAGAAGTCAAGGAAGGGATCATCAGCAGTGCCATCAAGTGGCACTAGCAAAAGAATAACCTGCTCAGTTTAGGTTCCACCAGGGCCATTCAGCTCCTGACGTCATTACAATTTTGGTTCAAACATGTACAAAAGAGATGAACTCCAGAGATGATAATGACTGCTCTTGACATCAAAGCTGCATTTGATCAAGGAGACCTAGCAAAGCTGGCGTCAATGTGAATTGGGGGGAATCTCTCTCTGCTGTTTGGAACCATACTTGGTGCATAGGAAGATGGTTGTGGTTATTGAAGTTCAGTCATATCAACTCCAGAATGTCTCTATCTCTGCAGGAGTTCTTCAGGGTAGTATCCTAGGCCCTACCATCTTCAGCTGCTTGGTCACTGACCCTCTCTCTCTCTTATAAGGTCAGAAATGAGAATGTTCACTGATGATTGCCCAATGTTTAGCACCAAATGTGACACCTCGGATACTAAAGTAATCTGAGTCCGTATATGGACAGACTTGGACAACATCCAGGCTTGGGCTGTTAAGTGGCAAGTAATATTTGTGCCACACAAATGCCCAGTAATTGACCATCTTCAACAAGAGCGAATCTAACCCTTGACCGTCAGTTAATATCATTGCTGAATCCCCTTGCTATCAGTATCCTGGGGTTTGTCATTGGCCAGAAACTGAACTGGAACAGCTATATAAATATTGTGACGACAAGAATAGGTCAGAGACTAGAAAATCTGTGGCAATTAATTCACTCGCTGACTCCCCATTTGCTTGGATGAGTGTAGCTTCAACAATATTTAAGAAGCTTGGCATCATCCAGGACTAAGCAGCTTGCTTGATTGGCACCATGTCTATCGGCTTCAACATGCACTCCTTTCGCCTCCACACACAGCAGCAGCAACAGTGTGTTCCATCTTCAAGATGCACTGCAGTAATTCAACAAGGCTCCTCTGACAGCAGCTTTAAAACCCATAATCTCTTCTACCTAGAAGGGCCAGGGCAGCAGATGCTTAGGAACACCACCAACTGCAAGTTCTCTTCCAAATCTCTCACCATCCTAACTCAGAAATATATCACTGTTCCTCCAGTGTCACTGGGTTAAAAGTCCTGGAATTCTCTTCCTAAGTGGCCCTACATTCCAAAGACTGCAGCGGTTCAAGAAGACAGTTCACTACCACCTTTTCCAGGGCGTTTAGGAATGTGCATTAAATGCTGACCTAGTCCACAACACCTACATCCCACGAATGAATAAAAACAAATTCCTACATACAACAATCTAGTCTAAAATTTTTTAAATCTAACTGCTACCAGTATGGAATGTAGCTTCGCTATGTGGATGTGTGCCCTAATCATAGGATGGTGGGGGAGTGGAAATCTGAATTGAACAATGTTCCTGCAATTTCTGCTGCCTGCATTTGAATTTGAATCAAATTGGAAGTTTTGATAGTGATGAGATTGTGCACATGTTAATATACTGCTCAGTTTATTCCATACCTTGAAATTTCCTGGCATTTGATTTGGATTTTTCTCCCACAGGTCTTAAAAGATGGCATGTTGGAGAATTTGACTCCTAAACTCTTCAAGGATGTTAATCAGCCCAAGTACAATGGCACAATTCACCTGGACAGGCAAGTGAACAGAAAAGATCTTTGGAAAACAGTTTGTGATTTGTAGAAGATTTTGAAAATCACCTAATCTCGGTTATTGTAAATAAGCTTGTGAACTTTCAGGATATTTAATTACCTCACTTACTGCATGTTACCTTTGCCTGATCAACTGGTCAATGAAGATTATGCGAACCAGATCACTGCTGTTTCATCAAATTAATATGGCTTGTTGGTTCTATCATGATCTGACAACCAGATGACCAATAAGAGTAGAATTCACACTCGATTTCATTTTTCTCCTTTAAATGGTGGAGGCAGCTTTTCCCAGTCCTGCTCCTTCCTTTATGGCACAGTAGCTCAGTGGTTAGCACTGCTGCCTCATAGGACCAGAAACCTGGTCGATTTTACACTTGGACAACCGCCTGTGTGGAGTTTGCACATTCCCCCCAGTCTCTGTGTGCTATTCCCCCAGATGCTCCAGTTTCCTCCCACAGTCCAAAGATGTGTAGGTTATGTGGATTGGCCATGCTAGATTGCCCTTAGTGTCCAGGGATGTGCAGGCCAGGTGGATTAGCCATGGGAAATGCAGGGATATGGGGATCCGGTGTAGCGCTCGGTTTGGTTGGGATGCTCTTTGGCGGGTCTGTATGGACTCGATGGGCCAAATGACATGCTTCCATACTGTAGGGATCCTATGATTTATTTCACCAGACTCTCACCACAGGTATTCCCTCAGGATGCTAAGAATACAAATTTCACATGCCCTTATAAGAATTTGTCACAGCCATCCTTTACAAGCTGCAAACAGTAACATTTCTAATTTGAGATATTATCATAACAAAAAGTGGAAATTGTAAATTGTAAGTTGCAAAGAGATTGTGATAGTTGTATTCTGCAGCACAACATGTAAATGAATTGGACATCATAAGAAAAGTCAAATCATGACAATATACATTTGTACTTGTACAATCATCCATTCTAATCAGTAATCCTTCCCATTGATATTCACTATTGTGTGATTTAAGTATGGCTTGACTTTTTTTCTTTTCTGTATAATTTTTAGTGCTTATTTTAACTTTACTATGTCTGATTTTCATTCAAGTTTAATGCAGCCAATAAGATTTTGTTACAATTTTCTTCTTTAGGGTCAGTAGGGAGAAATGCACGGCACTTGATTATTTTGTTGTCTTCTCTTCTGTGAGCTGTGGCTATGGTGTTGCTGGGCAGAGTAACTATGGTTTTGCAAATTCTGCCATGGAACGTATCTGTGAGCAGAGATGCCGAGATGGCCTGGCAGGTATGTGCTATATGTTTGGAACAAATCTGTCCCACTTTTCCTTTAGGAATTTTCCTGAATCTGAAAGAAACTGAAGATTTGTTTTGAAACAAATATATTCAAATTTATTAGCCTGGCATTTGCTGCTGAGTTTAACAGCACTCCCCATTATTAATGTTTCTCTTACTCTTCACCACAAGTTGAAGAATAAGTTGTGAGTTATACAAGTTGCTTGGCAATTTGTGCTGGTATGACATTAGCCTCAATTTGTTTTAAAAGAAAGCAAGTGCTCAAGCCTCCCCATGAATTGACTGAGGTCGCTACATTTCCTCATGAAGTACCTGTTAAAATTGTCAATCTCTCTGGTCCACAAAGGGAAAATTTAAACTGTAGCATGTCAATTTTCCAGGTGATGAATTGTTAACAGATGCTTTGAATTTAAAATTTGTACAAGATTTTTACTCTCCCAGTCTGCTTATTCTTTCCCTTTCGCTTCTCTTTCTGTTCCCAATATGACTTTAATTCATCCTGCGCTGTCATTCCACTATTCCTATCTCAGTGGTTAAGAATGTACACTCTTGCTTCCCTCTCTCCTGCTACCCTCACCCCCTCAGAAAAAAGTCTGGGCTTTTTTGTTAAAATCAATTTTCAGTCATTTGTATTTATTCATTTGTTCTTGAAAATGGCAGTTTTCTGTCAAACTTTAACATAACAAGTTTCCATCGAAGAGCAGGATTTCAACTAATTTAATATATGCACGTTTAATTATGGTGAAAGAATCGTTACCTAATCTGCCTTTTCTCCACTTGCCAGGGGAAGGCCTTATGATTGAATTTCTTCACCTTTTTTGTTCTGTTGTACCAGCTGTTCATAAATGGGGTAATAGAATTGGGCAAAGGGCAGAAATAATTGAGGAAGAATATCCCAAAATAAACTGGGGACTCCCTGAGTGTGGCTGCAAGACACTTCGTTACTCCCTGTTTTCTGTATAATGCAGTCAACCTTTATCAGATCCACCCCTATATCGAAGGAAAACATTCCCTCGATCTGTTTATCCATCCTTAAAAATGAAAATGCAACAGCCATCCTTGACTTGTGTCAATAAATCGATAACAAATAAACGTAACCCCTTGTGTAAATCATAAGACTAGGTTGAAATCATAAATAAAGACTAAAAGTGTTGTAAATTGAGAGGCTAACTTTTCTGAGATTGTCATAACCAAGAACAACAGAGGTTAGGAAGGAAGGGAAATTAAAGGAGTTGCAGCCATGTAACTGAAAACACTTTTGAAATAGTTGACAACTGGGAGCTCCTTTTTTATAGAAACGTTTCAATGAGGCAATTGAAAAGCATAAAAGAACAAAAGGTTGAAAATCTCTAAAGATGTTTTGAGTATTTACTGTAACTTACCAAGAATATCTGTGTCTCAGGCCTAGCCATACAGTGGGGTGCCATTGGCGATGTGGGTGTCATCTTGGAAACCATGGGCGACAATGACACTGTAATCGGTGGAACTTTGCCTCAGAAGATCAGCTCCTGTTTAGAGGTTCTAGACCAGTTCCTGAACCAGTCACATCCAGTCATGTGCAGTTTTGTCCTTGCACAGAAAACGGTAGTTGTAAAGGCTGATGGCAGTGGTCAACGGGACCTTATTGAGGCTGTGGCCCACATACTTGGTAAGCTTTTTGGATATAAATCGTATTGTAGAATGCATTGTATGGATACACATCCCATCTTGTTCATCCCTGTAACAATGAATATTATTTAGGCATTATACAGTAATGTAGAACCTGTTGCTATTGTTTCAATATTAAACGGTTAATTTTAACTCCTTTATAACTCTAAAATAAATATTCACAGTAAGTGACTGTTTTGCAAAACAAGGTGTTGTAGTTTGCTTATGCAACAACACAGCTAACTAAACTGGTTTCTCAAGTATTGAAGAAAAGTACCTGTAGAACTAATTTATATGAAAAATGTGGCAAAACACCTCTGCTATTTGAATACTGAACAAAGTTGCACATTGCAAAAGAGATAGCAACAATCAGCTGTTCTATATTGCTGTAGGAGATAACTTGATTTAATTTACTTAAGAAATACTGAATTAAAATATACATCACATTTTCTTATTTATTTTAGAACTTTGCAATTAAACCTTCTAAGGGTAGAAACATTTGTAAAGATCGAATCATGTGATCCAAGAAGAAGCAATTTTTAAATAGCGGTCTCCCCAATTTCTCCAACCCTCTCATTTTAAAAAGACATGGGGGGGGTAAAGTTCAACTTTGACCTGGGCACGAAATAGGTGGTAGCTGCTTTCTACGTATCCAGACTAATTTTGTTTTCCATTGACTTTGGGAAAATCAGGCTGAATCTACAACATTGAGTTAATATAGTGACACTTATTTATATGCTGGACTCAAGTTTAACTTTACATTTGAGCCTCAACTACTTTTGACTCCTTGTTGGAATAGGGTCCCGTAAGAGCTTTGCTGCTGTGTAGGCTTTATTTGTGTTTAAACCTTTACTGTAAGTGTTGGCAAAGCTTAAAGCTCTTTGGGTGAATCACAATGACAAACTTTACTGTTTCTTCATCCAGCATCCTGAGATACGGACTTTGTTAATTAGTGTTTGGGAGCCTCAGCCATTGTTCCTTCATATAAACCGATGGTGCTGAGACCAGTTGTAGTGTCTTAGTTCTACAGCACTGGAAACTGGAAAGGGTGCAAAAATTAATTATAAGGATGTTACCAAGACTAGAAGGTCTGACTTGTAAGGAGAGGTTGGATAGGTTGGGACCTTCTTTTCTCCCCCCGGCATGTAGGAGGTTGAGGGGTGACCTTGTAAAGGCTTATAAAATCGTGAGGGGCGTAGCTAAGGTGAATAGCCAAGAGCCTTTTCCCCAGGATAGGGGAATCCAAAACTAGAGGGCAGAGGCTTAAGGTGAGAGGGACAAGACTTAAAAAGGAGGGGTAACTTTTTGACACAGAGGGTGGTGTGTATATGGAATGAGTTGCCAGAGGAAGTGGTGGAGGTGGGTACAATTACAACGTTTAAAAGACATTTAGACAGCTATACGGATAGGAATATGGGCCAAATGCAAGTGAATGGGATTAGTTTGGTTCAGAATACCTGGTCAGCATGGACAATTTGGGCCGAAGGCCCTGTTTCAGTGTTGTATGCATCTGTGATTCTACCTAATATCAATTATGTCAACACCATACCTGGGAATTGATTCTGGCATTATCTTGATCTGCACTTAGATATCAAGGGAATCTAACAGGAAACTTTAAATGCCATCCATTGACAGGTATTCATAACTACAATCAGCAAACATCTTTGTTGAACCCATGTGTCATAAAGCATATGTTACCTGACTTTTGATTTTTAGTGATATATCTTTATAGCGGTCATTATAGCATTTATAACTAATCCTGATCAAGTGACCAGATGTTTACTATTAACACAACATTTATATGTCTCCTACTGATTCTGAGGAACAGACGTTGGTTGACAAAAATTGTGTGTTTTCACATGTTTGATTTGGGCTGTTGGAGTAAAGCTCTGTTCTTTGTCTCTCTCTCCACCCCACCTCTCTCTCTCACCCCAAAGGTGCACGGGACATCAATGGTTTAAACCCAGATACGACACTTGCTGATCTTGGTCTGGATTCACTGATGGCAGTGGAAGTACGACAAACACTTGAGAGGGATTATGAAATCGTCATGACAATGAGAGAAATTCGACAACTCACCATTAATAAATTACGTGAACTTGTGAATAAATCTGGCAGTGCAGGAGGTAGGAATTTAGAAATATTGATATGTTCTCTGCTCCAAGATTGACTTTTGCTGTTTTGGCAAAACTGTGATGATACATGCCTGTGATGTCAATGTGTCTGTACTTATAGCACATTTTGGCTACACCCATGCTATGTAATGACCAGCTTTTAATTTTCAGTAGCCTTGAAACACAGGAAAGATTTAGCTAATGGCAAATTTGACTGAGCAATATATAAAATCAGTCAACACAGCTCACTTGCTTGGACTGCAGATTGTTATAAAAGGGGAAGTTGTAGCAGCAAATTAATTCTTAGCAAGACCCAGTTGGTAATATTTAACCTTGACTGAGATGTCAGAGGTCTGTTACAGTAGCTGCAACAAAGCAGAATTAAAATGGAAGGCCAATCCTCAGCAAAAGCACATTTGCCAGTTGAATGGAAGAAGCTTTGCGACCAAGTCGATGCAGATTGTCGGCCTTTTTCTGCGTGGTTGCAAATATACCTGCTGGTATTGGCACACTTTTCACATTTTTGAGAACAAACAAAAATAAACTTATGTTTTGGCAGTGCTTTTCAAGAACCTGGGCCAAGCCAAAGCACTTTTCAGACAATGAGCATCAGAAGAACAGGAATAAGAGTAGGTCATTTAGCCTTTTGAGTTCATTTCATCATTCTGTTAGACCATGGTTGATCTCTCCCAAAACTCCACTTATCTGGCCTTTCTCGTAGCTGTTGATACTTGTATTTAGTAGAAATCTTGGTCATGTGCATTTCAGTTTTTATGTGAGAGGGAGATCCATTTTTCTTCCACCCTTCGAATGGATAGAATGTTTGCTAATTTCATTCTTCACTGGCCTAGAAGGAAAAGTGAGTATGCTCCCACTTTGTAGCTTTCTGTTATGGGCCCATCAAAATAGAATTTGGCACAAATGGAGACTGTAACTGCAGCATATCTGGAAGGTAGCATTTTGATGCACCTCAAAAAATCATGGCTCTTTTTTCACACGAATTTTCATTGTCACTCCCTTGAATGTCACATTTTTCTTGAAGATGCAGGTGAGGATCAATCATACATTAATCTGCTCCAGACTGTTCTTTTCTTTCTTTAAACTGGAGGGTTAGCGTACATCTTCTCTGCCTCTACACAATAATAAATATGTAATCATCATGTGACACAAGTTTGTGTCCAAAAATGAAATGTTCCTTGATATTCAGATAGTTACAGTATTTATTTTATTAATATTTTAGTGTATGTGAATAGATTTGAGTTTTCTTTGCGAAATTTATTCTCACATTATTCAAATATTCATTGTTTATTGCTATTGTGTAAATATTGTGAACTTCTAACCTTACAGGTTTATCTTTTAAAAATTGCAGTACAGTTAGGCATTAAGAAGCAATGCAAATGCTTTTCCCCTTGCTGTGGATAATCTATATGCTATCTTTTGTACAGAATCAAAGCCCACACCTCTGTCACCGGTAGACTCGCAGTTGAAAGATTTGGACCTTAATGTGCTCCTTGTCAATCCTGAAGGATCTACCATTGCCAAGCTAAATAACGTAGAGAGCAATGAACGACCTCTCTTCTTTGTGCACCCAATTGAGGGGTCAGTTGAGGCGTTCAAAACACTTGCATCCAAAGTCAGCATTCCCTGCTATGGCCTACAGTGCACACAAGGTACAGGACCATTGTTTTCCATCGCTATCAGCTTGGACAAATCTTGGGAGCTATTTCACCAAATACAGCTCACTCAAACATTTTCAAATTCTAGAGTTTTTATAGTGTTAGCTTATTTTGTTGTGATCACTTCCGTCTGATTTCGGAGTTTGTATAAAAACTGTTTTAAAAAACATAAATGGTCAAAATAGTGGCCTTCAAAAATGAGATGAAAACCAATTCAACAAAAGTAAACGTGGACTAGTTTTCCTGTTTCATTAAAATATTCTGGTAGGTTAATCTGTGTCGCTTGCCAGCAATTACAGAGCAGCCAGTTTTGAACTTAAAAAAAACTAATTGATGTTAACCAAGTTTTGTCGTTTAAATGGCCCCTGCAGTGTGTTAAACCAGAGACAAACAGGTGTCTCTCTGCATCCAGATCACTATGGTATATAAGGCCATAAGATGTAGGAGCAGACTTATGCCATTCAGCCCATTGAGTCTGCTCCATCATTCAATAAGACCATGCCTGATTTTGATACCCTTCAACTCGACTTACCTGCCTTTTATTCCCATGGCCCTTAATTTCTTGACTAATTTAAAGTCTGTCTATTTCCGCCTTTGATATACTTAATTATCTAGCTTCTACAGCCCTGTGTGGTAAAGTATTCCACAGATTCACTACTATCTAAAAATCTTCTCCTTTTCGTCTTAAATGGACAACCCTTTTGCTCTGAGATTATGGCCCCGGTCCTAGATTCTGCCATAATCTTTGTGTCTACCCTGTCAAATCACCAAAGAATCTTGTATGTTTCAATAAGGTTGCCTCTTACCTACTAAATTCCAATGAGTGCAGGCCCAACCTACTCAGCCTTTTCTCATAAGACAGTCCATCCATACCTGGGATCAGCCTATTGAATCTTCTTTAGACTGCCTTCAATGCCAGTATGCCTGCCCTAAGGGCCCAGAGTGTTCACTATTTCAGGTATGATCTGACTAGTGCCTTGTATTGTTTTAGCAAGACTTTCCTATTTTATACTCCATTTTCCCCTTAAAATAAAGGCCAACATTCCATTTGCCTTTCCTATTTCCTCCTGAACTTGAATATGAACTCACAATCTGTGTAGCTCTCTACAGTCTTTCTCCATTTGAATAATATTCAGCTGCTCTACTCTTCTTATGGCATGACATGATATTTTCCCACATTATATTTCACTGTCCCAAGCTTTTGCCCACTTGCCAGACCTGCCTATACCGCTGTCAATTTACCAATTGTCTTTCCATCTGTTTTTGTCGTCACAAGTTTGGCTATAGCGCAGTTCACTTTCCTCATCCAAGTATATGGCACATATAAAAATTTATTACTGATCCCTGTGGCACTCCTAGTTACAAGTTATCATCTGGAAAATACCTCCTTATCCCAACTCCTTTTAGTTAGACAATCCTTTATTCATGCTAATTATACAACACCAACACCATGAGCTCATCTTATTCCAATGTGTGGTAACTCATCAAATGCCTTCTGAAAGTCCAAATATATTAGAACCACTGGTTCATGTGTGATATATTTCCCTTGCCCTAACTCTAACTTTTTGATAGAACAAAGGCAGCAACTTCATGGGAACACCACCACATTCTGGTGAATCTCCTCAGCACCGTCTCTAGTGCAATCAGATCCTTCCAATACTGTAGCGATTAGTTGTTTGAGAAGTTAACCCACCACCACCTGCTCTAGGGCAATTAATGACAGGCAGTCAATGTTGGTCTGGCTAGTGGATGAATTGCTGGTCTTGTGAGAATTAAAATGGGTTGCTGTTTTGAATGGGGTGAACAAGAAATTCAGTGTCACTGTCATTTTACATTGCCCCACTGAATTCCATAGAGGGAGCTCGGAGAGCTGCATATTTTGGTGACGAATTGCACGTGAAATAGACTGGGGCTTAAACTGTGGACGGTTGCATTGCATTAACCTAGTGTATTTCTTTTGGTGAAGCTGCACCACTGGATAGCATTCCGAACTTGGCTTCCTATTACCTTGGCTGTATTAAACAAGTTCAGCCTGAGGGGCCCTACAGAATTGCTGGTTACTCCTTTGGGGCCTGTGTGGCATTTGAAATTTGCACACAGCTGCAAGCACAAGCGAACATGCCTCGTCCTGTTGACTGCCTGATCTTACTTGACGGCTCCCACTCGTATGTGGCTTCCTACACCCAGGTATCACATTGTCTAAGACTCACCTCAGTGTTTTCTGTTAAACAAAGTGCGTGTCATTTGGTTGGTGGAGCTACTCTTCCCCTCCCCACCCCTTTCATTTGTTGTTACATCTCTTCATAAAGTTCCTGCTCGTCTGTCAATTTTTTTTTTTCAATTTTAATAAAGGCACAAGCCTGAAACCTCTTCCCTTAAACAGTTGCTTGACTTGCTGAGCGTTCATGATGATTTCTAATCTGCAGTACTTTTCCCCTCTTTATACGTGCTCGGCCTGACTTCCTTGTCCATTGACTTTGATTGTAATTAGTTTTTAACTAATCATTGGATCATTTAAGGGAAGCAGCAATGGTGTGTAATACTGCTGGAACTGATTCTATTGCCTGTGTTTCTCTTAAGTCTGACTACTTTGTGTTGTCATTATGGAAAGCGTTAAACCATTTTATTGGTTAACAGCAACTGCATAACTGAGATCATTAGTTGATGACTGCTGTGCTTTATATTTGACCGTCCTCAAAATTATTTTAACAAAATTATGCCTGAATCCCACACGAAAAGAAAGAACTGCAGATGTTGGAGATCTGAAATGAAGTTGAAAATACTGGAGAAACTCAGCAGGTCTAGCAGCATCTCTGGAGAGAGGAACAGAGTTAACGTTTTGAATCCGAAGTGACTCCTCATTGGAACCTAGGAAGAAGCTTGAATATAGCGGTGTCAATGTGGTATTTTGTGCACTGTAGAAGCACATGGTAGTGATAGTAGTGGTGCCCCTGAACAGTGAGTATTAATAGCAGTGTGGAAGAGATATAGATGAAGAGAAATGTGAGTAGTGGTGTTTATGAGTACACCGACTATTTACACCGAATCTTCTTTTATATCTCTTCCCTACTACCTTTTTGTTCAGGGACACTTTTTACCAGTCATTCCACTTGCTCCATTCCCATTTTTCTATTACATAAAGTCTCCCACCTTTCCAGCCCCTTCCAGTTGTGAAGAAGAATCATATTGGACTGGAAACATTAACTCTTTCTCTGTCAACAGATGCTGTCAGATCTGCTGAGTTCCTCTAGCACTTCTTCTGCTTTTACATCCTGCTTATTTTGCTATGATCAGCAATGATATTCTTTGCTCTTCCTGGATTTCTAGAGTTACAAAGCAAAACTGACGACTGGAAATGATGCTGAAGCAGAAACCAAAGCAATGTGTGCATTTGTTGGGCAGTTCACAAACACCGAACACAACAAGGTAGGGACTGAGCATATTTCAAAGAAAAAACAATCTGTGGGAATAGGAGATGAATGAACACAAGCTGTTTAATCTGTGAGAAATGTGTATTGAAATGTCGCCACGTCTATTCCCACACGCACATAATTTATTTTGATGTCTCTATAAATTTACCTTGGTATGGCCAGACAATTGTGACTGAAAGGGTGTGGTGCCCCGATAATTCTGCTGTGATCTCTCTCAAGTTTGCTTGCTTCTAATAATGAGAAAGGATACGATTTCAACCTGAGTGTGATGTACTTTGATTTTACTTCCTTCAATACCTAGCTTAGCTGCTTTGTTGGTAATTTGCAGCAAAGCACGTCAAATCCACATTTATTTAGTGCCATTTGTTGCTATGGCACTGAGGCCTGCTACTGTGTTACTGTTCCTGTGGCTTTTCATGTGAAGTTACAATGTGCAAGCTGGAAAAACCATAGGAGGAATTTATCCCCTTTGCTTTTTGTGTGCGGAGATAGGTCTAAAGACTGACCGTTATGTTTTGCTAGAAGTAGCAAGACGTTCTTTTGATACAATTGGAAGAAATGTTTAGCATCACTGGAATGTGATTATTCCAAACTAAATGAAGATCAAATGTTAAACCAGAATCTAGTGCTAGATATACAAATTAAACTGGGTTCTGAAACTTCAGTGGAAATTTCGTAGTCACTCCATAATTAACCACAACATAAACAAATCTTCCCTTTTTCTAAACATCCCTTGACAACATGGTTTTGACCAGGAAGTAAAATTATGTTGGTAGCTGCTTGTTTCATTTAACTTCAGGGGGTAGCACTGGGCACAGTGGTTAGCACCACTGCCTTACAGCGGTTAGCACCACTGCCTCACAGCATCAGGAACCCAAGTTCAATACCACCCTCAGGCGATTGTGTCGAGTTGGCATATTCTCCCCATGTGCAGGTTAGGTGGATTAGCCATGGGAAAGACAGGGTTATGGGGGGGTTGGTCTGGGTGGGATGCTCTTTGGAGGGTTGGTGTGGACTCAATGGACCAAATGGCCTGCTTCTGCACTGTAGGGATTCTATGATTCTTTATTTGCACTATTCTGCAAATAATCAAGATAATTGCAATCTTGTTCAAGTGACTAAACTGTAAGAATATTTTGAGTGACAGTTAAATCATATTCCTGCACAGTGGTCTGATGCTCTTAGATTAGAATTAATTAACTTTACACTGTTTCTTCTTACAGCTCTTTGAGAAGTTGCTGCCACTGGAGAACTTGCAAGCAAGGGTCAGTGCAGTTGTTGATATGATCACCACAAACCATAAAAGCATCAACCGTAACACACTTAGTTTTGCTGCTACTGCTTTCTACTACAAACTTAAAGCAGCAGACGAATACATACCAGCTTCTAAATTTGGTGGAAACATCACACTATTGCGAGCAAAGACCACTCATGAGCTTCAAGAAGGTATGGGTGGAGATTACCAACTCTCTGAGGTAAGCTGTTGTTCTTTGGAAATATGTATTTCACTCCTCATTCCAGTTGAATTGCATTTTCTATGGGTTTGTTTAAAATACAACTTCGATTTTTCAGTCAAAAATCTTGGACTATTAACAACATTGTGGGTATCCTTACACAAAATGGACGGCAGTGGTTTGAGCATGCAGCTCACTGCCACCTTCTCCAAGGACAGTTAGGGATGGTCAATAAATAATAGCCCAGCCAGCAAAGCTCACATCCTGGGAAATACTTACTTAATTTTATTTTGGATAAGCTTCTGGTTTCAGAGGCATATCTTATATTTTGACTTATTGGCAGAATGAGGAATGCAAAAATCAAACTCGCTCATTCCTCCAAATATATTGATTCGAGGCTTTCCCACTGAATATGCAGATAGACATAGTGATTTCATGTGTGTGTGGAGAGCCATTTCTAGCAAGACCAACATTTATTGCCCATCTTTAATTGCCTTTGAGAGGGCGATGCTGAACTGTCAGCTTGAATGGCTGCCATCTGTGTCGTGAAAGTACTTCCAAGCTACTATTTACAGAGGGAGAGAGTTCCAAGGGTTTTAATGCATCAATGATAAAGGAATGGCGATGTATTTCCAAGCTAAGTTAGAGTGTGACGTGGAAGAAGAATTTGCGAAGTGGTACCATTCAAAGGTATCTGCTGCCCTTGCCCTTCTATGGGGTAGAAGTGGTGGGTTTAGCAGGTGCTGTCGTAAGAGGCTTAGTGAGTTGCTGCAGTGCATCTTTTAGACAGTATGCACAGTGTGTACTGAGTGTCAATCGTGAAGGGACTATGTTTAAGGTGGTGGTTGAACTGCCAATTAAAAAAGGTTCTTTGATAGATTCATTAAAATCCCCACATTGGGGAAAGAGGCCATTCAGCCCATCAAGTCTGCACCAATCTTCTGTACCAATCCCACCCAGACCCAGTGCCCCCACTCTATCTCCGTAACCCCACAACTATCATAGCTAATCCACCTAACCTGCACATCCCTGGACAGTATGTGCAATTTAGCATGGCCAGTCCACCTAACCTGCGCATCTTTCAGATTCTCCTTTTCTGCAGCCAGCCAATGGGTTCTCCCAGATTACCAAGTTATTTTGTAGGTTGGGGTCTCAAACACACAAAATTCGTGAATAAGTTGTTGTGTACTTTTTTTCCACTCAAGTGATGAGATGGTGAGGTAGCCTACTTCACCTCCACGTCTCTCAAAAATCTTTTTGAATGCATTATTCCAATACCTGAATACTAACATCTTCATCTGATTCCATATCCAATATTTGTAAGCCTTTTGCAGTGAAATCGCTTCACAAATGCTCTTAATATGTACATTCCAGGGGCTGATATTTTGGTTAGGACTCTGCAGAAGCACTGAGCTGATGGTTCACTGTGTAAAGTGTATTATTTAAATGTAAATTAGAAGACAGTTCACTTTATCAGTTGAAGTAATTCTGTTGTCAGTGTCTGAGCTGTGGACAAAAAAAGTGGTGCTCTTAGTAATAATTTTTGAGCAAGATGTTTTAGTACATAGTTAGAAGCACTGTTGGGTTAGTTCAGTATTACAAAATGAAATTCTAATGTTATGTGAATGCAAAATGCCTTTAACCAAATTTCAGATGTAAAGCTGACATTGCCTCCAATCTTATCAGTTACCTCTCGGGCAGGTTAGATTACAGTAATCCTCACAGTATATTTCTATAGAAAATGTAATAAATTTTTTGTTAATATTTCCAACTCATTTCTTTCACTTCCAGGTTTGTGATGGAAAGGTCTTAATTCACGTAATTGAAGGAGATCATTGGACATTCTTAAAGGGAGCGTCAGTGGATTCTGTTGTCAGCATCATCCACAACACTTTGGCAGAGCCACGAGTTGCTGCCCGGGAGGGCTGAAACAGAAGATTTATATGTTGACCAATCAGCCACGTTTCCTGGCGTGTGCAATAGATTGTACAGCTGTCGAGTCTTTTCACACAATGATGTTGTTGCAAAAACTGTAATTTTACGTTGGCTTAGTTGTAGATCAAGGCAGTAAATATAGTACTTAACGGAGAAACTGGTACATAGCTGGACCAAAATGGGCAAACAAGAAAAAACTGACTGATCTATTTCTGAGACATTCATTGTCTATGAGGAAATAGAAGCTGATGATACTGCAGTTTTTGATTTGTCCAGTTGAATAGCTTGTAAAACAACAATGTAATGTGGAACCTACCAAGAGCATGATCCATTCCTCTGTATTTTTTTTCACAAAAGTAATGTTTATAATTTTTTTCTTCTAAATTGTAAACTACTTGTGTTTTGTGTGAGGAATTAAATAAAGGTCAAATCTGACATTTTTAGTATGAAGTCTGGTGTTGCAAAAAAGGGTAAATTAGAACTGTTACACATGAAATAGTTCAGATGTTAAGTGCCTGGCTCTGAATCAGAAGATACAGAATTTGAGTCCCAGGAATCTCTTCTCAGTTTGATTCATCTGTCCAGAACAAATGAAGCCATTGGATGAAACAATAAGTGAGTCTGGCCACTGTGTTGGGGAAGAAATAGGCCCCTTTATCCTTGGGTTGTACCAATGGCAGCATCTGAAAGCAAATGACAGTTGTAACAAAACCAATAATTTGGAGTCTTGTGGCCTTGGAGGTGAAAGGTGCAAGAAACTGGGGACAGGGGATGCTGGCCGAAGCCTTTTATTAAAGCAACTGATGACACCTAGTCAGAATTGTAAAACTTCTGCCTATACAGAGGAGAATCCATGGCTGATTAACTGGGAGGCAGCAGAAAATGTTTATTTTCCTCCTTTTTAATGCTTGTCATTGCCCCCTCAAAAGAACTGGGTCAGATCATTAGCAAATGTTTCTGATGCACTCTTAAATAATTTGCAAATTCAACAGAATAGCCATCTACGAAATCGAAGTCACATATAGGAGTCTCTAATTCAAGACAAGGGACTTAAATGATGTGAGCATTTTAAATGGCCAATTAACGATGCTGCATTTTGTAAAAAGCTGCAGTAAATCAGGAAAGCACCAATGTGTATATTGCATGTGTAAAGGTCATCCTCTTACAGAACTCCTTTCAACTGTTAAAATGTTCACTTTTGAAAATGTTGACCATAAAGAGGTACTACATAATCTGTTTTTAAACACAATACGCCAAATAGTTTTACATGGAGGGATGAACTTTCATAAATTCATGGAAGTGGTTGGATCCTGCTGTTTGACATGTCATTGGCAAATGCTCGTCTTTGAATTTGTTTCATGTATTCTGTGACTTATCAATTTTACCCTGGTTTTGTAAAACAACTACTTTAGGCCATATTCATGGCAGACATTTTATGTTGTAATAAAAAGCAATATCTGGTTTAAAGTCCAATTAAAGAACAGAATAATGATTTAAGATTGACTTTTTAGGAGGAATCTCACTTAATTATATATTTGAAAGGATTACGTAGCATGTCAATTTTTTTGACAATGCAGTACCTGTGCCATTAAAACTGCTATTTCCAAGTGAGGATGTAATTAAATTTGACTAACTACAAAGCTTAATTGCTATCTGCTCCTCTGTCCCAGATATCCTGACTGCTGTAGATTATGATCTTACAAGACAAATTGTAGTTATAACGTGTATTATTCTAGCCAAGGCATTGCAATTTGTAGCATCAAATATCAAATAAAACTTCAAATCACTTTCAATTTAAATTAAATGGTTATCTCTGATTCTGATTTGTTACTAGTTTTATCCTTTTTTTTTCAGAATTTCTTCCTCTGATGAGGTTTAATTTTTTTGGCTTCTTTTCTGAATTGCACTTGAACGAGTTGCAATGTCATCTTTAATGAATTGTAGCCTAAAGCTAATTTATTGTGACCAGTCGAACAAGACCTAGTAAATTTCCTTAGAGATTTGACTGAGTATACTGTGATCGAACCTTTCAGCCTATTAATAATAATCACAATTTTTTAATCACTGCCAGAGGGAGGCAAAATTACATTCAGCATTGCCAAGGAAGTCAGCAAGTGAAAGTGCCTGATAGAGTTGTGATAGACCATAGAAGCTCTTTTCTTAAAAAAAAAAATTAATTACTGCCTGTTGTTCAGGCAGTAAGGAGATAATCTGTCTATAACAATTATCATCAGTCTATTCTAGATGCACTCTATAATGAAGGCAATTGATCTTTGAAGAGATTGCAGCATAATTTAACGTTTCCTTTCGATTAGTGCCATGTTTGTCCTTCACGGCGCTTTTTCACTTTTTAAAACAAACCTTTGACAAGGTTTGAGGAAATCTGACTAGGCCAGTTCCACGTTGAAGCACAGTCAATTTTTTTCCAGGAAAATGTTAAAGGAACCTCAAGATAGCCAAATTATATATACTTACCAAGTGAAACAATTGCAGAATCTTGAGACAATCAGCAGCCTGCAATATCTCTTGTATGTAATGCCCCAGTTCATTCATCCCCATCTTTGGATCTCCTCATCACCTTGTACTGACCTGCTCTCTAAAAGTAGTCACCAGTCTCTTTGCAATGATAATAAAAACTATCAATTGGTTTGTAAATTTTCTACTGTCAATATTGAGAGAAATATCAGGAAATACATCCATGATATTTGTTACGCTATTGGTTCTTTGAACATTATTATGGAACAGCTTCATGGCTCTTTCCATAAATGGATTGCATTGGCTCTCAATCTGAAATGCCCTGCGCGATAGTTAATTCATGCACAACTGTTATAACCAGGTGAGAAGGCATGAACTGACCTCTGTTCAACTTTCCCTATTGGTCACAACAAAGGTTTAAGTTTTTTTTTGCACACAACTATACATCTCTCATATTACAAAAAAAAGTTAACTATTTCTGTTGTGATCATAAGCTAATCAACAAGTTTTTCATGAATCAAAAAAAGAGCAAATTTGTTAACTGTTAAACCAGAAGAAAATAATAAAATGGGATAGTAAACATACAGTCTTCGTTAAGTTACTTGGGTGCTCACAAATACCTGTAGAAAATTATGAGGGAATAGAGTCCGATCATAACACCTCAAGGACTAGCAAAGGGTCCCAAACCATACATTTTTTGGGACCCTTTGCTAGTCCTTGAGATGTTATGATTCCAGCTGACCTATTACTGGAAATGTCAGATCCCAGATTGAAATATGGCTTGAAAGATCATGTTTTGGCTTTAACAAGGTGTTCTCCCACTAAAACACAAGCATGCAATTTTTTTAAACAATAAAACAAAATTATCAAGGAAAAGATAAAACAGAATAGCTAAAAGAGTTCTAGCACGCAGTAAAAGTATAACCCCATTAGTCCTCAAGTTTTTTTTTAAACACTCTTGTACAGTATTCACCAGAATTCTTTTCTCTAACACCTCAATAGATTTACAGTAACTGTGACGTTAACTCTTAGACTGGAATCTCCAAAAGCTTATTCCTGAAGCACGGATACAGTTGTGTTTAAATAAAGTCAACTTAAAGTCCTCTTTGGGTTTTATTCCAACACATCCAGTCTGGGACTATTGCTAACTCCTAAATCTAAGATAATCAAGTTTACAATGTTCTCCCTGTTTATGAGGAGCACTGCCCTTTAGATGCATGTCCATGCAAAATATTCAGAGTGCCCAAAACAAAGTATTACTGAATTGAAAGTCTCTCTTGTCTCTACTGTGGGCTTTTCCTTTAAGCTTTAACAAACTCCCAGTTCAGAAATTTCTAACAAAAAACAAATATCTACATTAATAACTTGTCAAATCCTAAAGTAAATAAAAATCCATTGTGCAGTCAAAGTAGTCTGCTCGAACTGTTTTAAAATAAATTACCATGGCTACAGAAATACAGGTTAATTATTGATTTCAGATGTACAAAAGCCCAAATATTACTTACTCAAAATCCAAACGTAAAGAGAATGATATTTTTAATGTGTGTACATCAGATAGTTTACATCACACGAGCAAAAGGTTTTAAGCTGAGATTGATCTTGATAGTTGGTTTCTAGGATGCACTCAGTTATAATCTATATGGCAGCTGTTGAAAATTCCCAGTTTGCAGAGTTGTTTCTCTCAGATCACCTTTTACAGAACTGGACACCACTTCCAAAAGGAAAAAAAAAGAGTCCTTATTCTTGACGTTACTGCAAATTCCTTGAGGGTATTCCATGTTTCTAGGTTTGTCACCCTCTACAGCAACAATCACAGGCTTACAGTCTTGGCTTCCCAGAGATGGGCCACTTCATTGTGTCAAAGCTGGCTGTTTGCATATGATGAGAACAATCCATTTTGACAAAGAGTTTCCAGGGTGCATTGTCAGAGATCTCCTGCGATCCTTTAGATTGTGGGTGGGGTTTATTCTTCTTCTTTGCATCATGAGTTTGGAATTTAAGTCTTTGTTCCATTTGTGATATCTGATATCTGGAGTGAAGAGTCTCATCCCTAGAGTCTTTTGTAGGTCTCATAATTTGGTAGCTAATTTAAAGTGTCTTAGATAATTTTTAACCTTTTCTCAACTCCAAAGCTGTTCAGCCCAGAGAAAAAGCCAGTAATACATAGACATGAATGTACTGATAATGCTGGAGCTCTAATTGTATTTAGAAGGTTGAATCCAATGAGTATTTCTCATTTGCAAATGTTATTACTGCTTCCTTCCAGGAGTTAGTCAATGAGTTTGAATAATTATTAGTGAGAATTTTACATCATCATGACACAGCAATAAACCCAAAATGCAGTAAATTTCATAGCAACAGTCACATAGGGTTTGTATTATGTTTCAGTTCATTGGATGGCTGATTTACAAGCTAAGCTGGATCTAAAACATTTGTACATTCAGCTGATAGATTGAAACAAAACTATTCAGCATTCGGAGAGGAGCGACACTAAATGTAAACCACAGACATTTTTCTCTCCACTCATGCAATGACTGTATGGAAACAATTTGATAAAGAAGGAATCAATCAGGGAAAGGATGACAAATGACCACTGCATCCTTTAATCATTAAATGTGTATTGTTTGTAATGGGTTAGTATGTATAAAACTACAATCATGGAGAAATAATGAAGACAGCATGAGAAAAAACATCCAATAAATCCATTTTAGTTAAAATACTTACTTCAACTTGTTCTGATTACTTCCCAAAAATTTCAATCTAAACACAGAAATACAACACATTGTCTATTTTAAAAGAAACAAAAACACAAATTGCTGGCAAAACTCAGCAGGTCTGACAGCATCTGTGGGGAGAAAGCAGAGTCAACATTTCCAGTCCACTGACTTCATCACAACTGATAGCAGCTAGGAAAAGGTGATATTTATGTTGAAGGCCAGGTTTAGGAGTGGGGAGAAGAACAGGTGAGCAGATAGGTGGAGACATCTCTCTCATGTATGGAATTGGCAGACAAGGGGATTTTTGAAAGTGAGCAAAGATAGAACAAAAGCTGAAAAAGTGATAATGAGAGCTGAAAGTAAGAGAGAATGTTATTCCGAAAGCAATCCATATCATGACTGGACCAGAGTGTGGAGGTGAGTAAAAAATGTGAAAAGATGGAATCCAGCTCTAAAGCTACCAAACTCAATGTTGAGTCTTAGAGGCTGCAGGGTCCCCAAGCGGAAAATGAGATGTTGTTCTTCGAGTTTGCATTGAGGCTCACTGGAACACTGCAGCAGCCCTGTGTCAGAAATAACACAGTGTGGAGCTGGAGGAACAGAGCAGGCTGGGCAGCATTAGCGGAGCAGGAAAGCTGACGTTTTGGATCGGGACCCTTCTTCAGAAAATCAAGATTCTTCAGGATTTTCTGAAGAAGGGTCCTGACCCAAAACATCAGTTTTCCTGCTCCTCTGATGCTGCCTGGTCTGCTGTGTTCCTCCAGCTCCACATTGTGTTATCTCTGACTCCAGCATCGGCAGTTCTTACTATCTCTGTGACAGAAATGTTGGCCTGGGAACATGACGGTATGTTGAAGTGACAGACAACTGAAAGCTCAGGGACATTTTTACAGATAGAATGTAGGTGTCCTGCAAAGCAGTCACCCAGTCTGCATTTAGTCTCCCCAAAATAGAGACAACTACATTGTGAACAGTGAACGCTGTAGACTAGATTGAAGAAGTGGGCGTGAATCACTGCTTCACCTAGAAGTTATATCTAGGGCCTTGGATAAGGAGGACAGAGGAAGTAAACGGGATGTTAAACTTTCTGCAATTGCATGGGAGGGTCCTGTGGGTGTGGGGAGGTATTGGGAAATAGAGGAAGAATGGAAGAGTCACCAGGCTTTAAATGTTAACTCGGCTTTCTCCCTGCAGATGCTATCAGACCTGCTGAGTTTCTCCAGCAATTTCTGTTTTTGTTTCAGAACTCCAGCATCCACAGATTTTTGTTTTATTTTAGTGTATATTTTATAAGCTTCATTTATGAAGGAACAGGTCGGTTAATTTACGGAGTATGTAATTCAATTTGTTGTTCATCCTGAAACTGGTCATAATGACAGCTATTTATTTGCTTCATCGGGGACAGCCGTATCATACAATTCTGCCCAAGCACAGATTGCAATAAAATTGAAAATTGACTTGCTCCCGTAACCAGAGTAAAATACTGCGGATGTGGAAATCTTAAATAAAAGCAAATTTGCTGGAGAAATTCCAAAGGTCTAGCAGCATGAGTGGGGACAGAAACAGATTACTGTTCCGATTCCAATGTGACTAAATAGGTATTCTGGTTTTTAAGGTATGAAAAACGTTGCAGGTGCAGAGACATCTGTATGACTAACCGTAGCTTAATGTTCCCCCACATCTATGAACTTGATACTATAAATACGACTTGTACCTCAAACTTAATGGAATTATTTTGCTCATAAAACTTGTTCTTTCTCCTGAGTTATTGACATTCTAATATGCAAAGGATATCGATGGTGATCCACAATTCCTCTCATCAATAATCCAAGAAATGGGGAGGAAATTAAAATCCCAATTTAATAAATGAATAATCTTTTCGTGACATCGTAGCAGTCTTTGGATGAGAAGTTCCAAGTCAGTCCATGTAATTCCCTGCGCGGCCAGTGGTGGTGCTGCAGCCGCCGGACTGAATGTGCTTGAGGGGCTTGGGTTTCCAGTCGGAACCGTGAAGGTGAGGGACCGGTCGGCGGACAGAATTTGGGAGCGGAACCAAAGCCAGGAGCAGGTGAGAAGGTAAGAAGGGAGAGGAGAAAAAAAAATGAAACTTGCAGGGGCGAGCGGGATAAAGAATTACAGAGAGAAAGGCAGTGTAATAATACCAGGTAGAGTGGGGTAAGGAGAGGTGGAGACGTGAAGGGGAGGCGGAAAGAAAGACTGGCGTTGAAATAGCGCCTAGCTTTCGCGATCTCAGGATGCCCCAAAGCCCTTAAGTGACAATGAAGTACTTTTATTCAATAAAATAGTGTCGTCGCTATTATAATCCAAAAAATGTAGCAGGTAGTTTGTGCACAACAGGATCCCACACTCAACAATGTGATAAAGACCAAATTATTATTTTCTGGTGATGTTGGTGGAGGAATAAATACTGGTCAGGATGCTGGGAGAACTCATCCGCTCCTTGAAAAGTGACATGTGGGAAGGAAAAGCGGGAAAGTGCCTTAAGGCTCACTATCACTTCTGGCAGTGCAGCTACCTTGTTGCTGTGTCAGGAGTAGGACTTGAACTCTCAAGCATTGGATCTGAAGAAATGGACGCTCTGATTAGGGGGGAGGGAGTGGTAGTGAAAAGGAGAGATGAGAAGGAAAAACGTGAGGAACAGACATCTTGTGCTAAAAGTTTTCAAAATAATAATGCAAAATAACAATGCTCACCCACTCCATCTGTCTTGATTGACTGGTCCTGACTGCTTTCTGTTTCATTTAAGTGAACAAAATCTTAATAGATATAACTGGAGCATTGTAGAAAGCTCTATGCCCCAAACTATTTAATAGGCATTAGGTAATTGGTTATACAATATGATTTTGTTAATAAAGTGCAATTATAAACCATAAAAGCAAACTTTTTTCCTGAATATGTTTGGGGGGACAAGCTTAGCAGATCTGGCAGCGTCTGTGGCGAGAAATCAAAGTTAACGTTTCGGGTCTAGGAACCCTTCCTCTGAAATTTTGGGCGGAAGCTGAGATGCTGGAAATCTAAGTTTTTTTTTTCCGGAAAAATGAATGTCTCCCATTAGTTCAGAGATAGTAGGAACTGCAAATGCTGGAGAATCTGAGACAACAAGGCATAGAGCTGGATGAACACAGCTGGCCAAGCAGCATCATTCCTGCTCCTATGATGCTGCTTGGCCTGCTGTGTTCATCCAGCTCTACGCCTTGTTGTCTTCCGTTAGTTAATGGCTGTTGTATTATCACCACAAGAACAGAACAGAATTGTTATACAAGCTTATTACATTATGTGAAGTTTTCATCATTAGTCGGTATTCAGGGCAAAACTAATAAAGTTTTTAAAATGGAATTTGATAAGGGAAAATTCAGATCGCAGTTGACAGCTGCAGCTGAAGGGCTATCCAGGGACAGTGGATGGAGTGATCTATACATATTTGGACTCATGTCACATACCAATGAATTTATTTCAAATGTGGCAAATGTTTGCACAATTAACAAGTTCCTTGACTTAAAAGGTGCAAGTTTGCATGCATCTGTGACGAAATTGCTTTTAGTGTTGTTACATCAAAGATTATAACATAATTTATTTGTTCAGAGCAATTTGCATTAAAGAAAATATGTAATTGTAAATAATCCAGTCTACATCAATAATTATTTGTAGAAGTGGCAAGTATGAAAGCAAACTGACCACTTGTTCTTAAAATGTTTCTAAAATGCTCCTCCTATTATTTTGAAAGTCTAATAAATGTAGAGTGCTGCCTGTGTAAATAATTCAACAGACAGTTCCTTAAAATGTTATCACGTATTGGTAATTATTACCCTGATTAGCCTTGATATTTCTCAGTGTATTCATTTTGTTGGGACATTAGCAAGAATCTGTGTATTGTCTAGAAACAGCCACAATGTGAAATTGAACCATTTTGCAACAAATTTGGACCTTTTCAGTATGCTTTCTCAATTTGGAAATTGGGGTTGGCAAAAGATAATTAAGTAATGGCCTAAATAACTTGGTCAAGTTGCTGGTAGATGTCTAAGGTTTTGGAGTAGATCTGTAGCTCGGGTTGTGGGTGTTGAGGTTGGTTGGCTCGCCGAGCTGGTTTGTTGTTCCGCAGACGTTCTGTTTCGGGTGGTGGATGTGTCAGATGATGATGGGTTCAAGCAGTTCTCTATGACTGAGTATACAGTCTAGGCCTGGCATATAGAACATAGAACAGTACAGCACAGTTCAGGCCCTTTGGCCCATGATGTTGCGCTGACCTATTATCCTACTAACATCAAACTACCCTGCATACCCTACATTTTACTATCCTCCATGTGCCTATCCAAGAGTTGCTTAATAGTCTCTAAAGTATCTGACTCCACTACCGCTGCCGGCAGCACATTCCACACGCCCACCACTCTCTGTGTAAAGAACCTACCTCTGACATCTCCCCTATACCTTCTTCCAATCACCTTAAAATTATGCCCCCTCGTAATAGTCATTTCCGCCCTGGGAAAAAGTATCTCCAATTCTCTAACCTTCAGTTCACAGGCTGAATCCTACAAGTGAATTCCTTTCATATGCCCCGTGAACCCCCCTGTCGACTTTCTCATCTTTGCTCACTTGTGCACAAAGATCGATTCAATATTGATCATTTTCAAAGTTCCAGGCTAAGAGACTTGGAGGAGTCTGCTCCAGGTGTGTCATGAATCCCAGTCAGGGAATTTGCTTTTCTGGCTTGTCAGGCTGAGAAAGTTTGAAGAGCTGAGCTTGAAGCTTCCCAGTTTGTGTTGTAGTGACTTAACTGGGAAGAGAATGATGATAATCACTCCCCACTTTTCCACAAGTCATCACAAAATGCATAATTGTATAGTTGCTAATGAGACCACCAAAATGACTAACTTGCCTGACTGACTGCTTTTCAGGACAAAAGTAAATCACACAAGGTTTCTTTAGTTTAAAAAAAAACTTATTTATGGTAATACTTAACTTTAACAAGCAATGGTGAAACAAAAAGGTTTCTAATTTATGCAGCTTAAACTATATTCCTTCTAAACCCCAGTGAGCTATCTTGTGTCAGATTTGCTATTGTTCATAATAAAAGTAGGAGTGAAATTTCCAGATAAACATGGACTAAATTTCGATATTCAGATATATTGTTGTTGAACAGCCAGTTCTTGTTAAGCAGTTTCAGTGATCTGATGTACATGATTATTAAGATCAGGAGTTTAGGGTTTCTTTTCAAGCACCATTTTTGCAATTTTTGCAGGCCAAGGCCAGGATGCCTAAACTTCATGGGTTTGATTTCTGGAAGACCACACTGAACAGTGCTCGATATGTGGTTGCTCCAATGGTGGATCAGAGTGAGCTTGCATGGAGGTTACTCAGTCGTCGACATGGTGCCCAACTCTGTTACACTCCCATGCTTCATGCCCAGGTGTTTGTCCGGGATGCAAACTACAGAAAGGAGAATTTGTATAATGAGGTGAATGCAGAGGATCGACCATTAGTTGTTCAGGTATGGTGCCAGCTGTAGCAGGAATAAGATTAAATTATCTCATTAATGCTTTGATCAAGAGAGCAATTGTATTTTTCTATACCCTTAAATGGTAATGTCATTCTATTAATGATTTGTATTCAAATATTTGCACAACTTGCAACTGCATTGCTATGAAAAAAAAGCTTTAAAATATGTTGGAAGTGCAATACTGAAAGTCGGAAAGTGCACATAGTACTTTGACAGGAACATTCTCAACTTTGCTGTTCCACAATTATTTAACTCTCACATATGTATCCCCAGTTGTTGTTCCTGTCTTGTGGCCTCTTTGTATCACATTTACTTTCATCCATGTGCTCTATAATCTCAGAATCATTTGCACTACTTACATTTCTCTTTGAGTGTTTGATCAGATACTGGTTGTTTTAGATTTATCCACATAACTTCAGTTATAAATTGTCTCAGTTATCAAAAGCATCTAAATATTGGAATGGGTAGCAATGTTCTGCATTTACCCCACTACCTGTTTTGAAAACTGCAGACTGAGAATTTGTTAATAACAGATATTCTTTAATTCCTTATGTATGCCTTGATATGCTGCCTATGATCTCTTCCCAGCTTGAAAAGTTTCACTGTTGAGGCCAATTTTCTATCCAGTGTCTCACTACATTTTGGCAGTTCAATAATTTCAGCAAAGAAGACTAATATTGAGTCTATAAAAAAATTATTTGAATTTCTGTCTCAAATCCTGCCTGCAATGTCAGTAATATCTTTTTTTAAATCCTCAAGGTTAAACTGGGTATTTTTGTGTCTATACAAAGTTTTATATTTTCGAAATGTTCTAATCTTTAATTTGTGTTTCCTTGAAACAGAAAGCAAATTTTACTGTTCAGTGGTTTCCAGGTCTTTGCCCTCAGCTAAAAATTTTGATTCTCCGGAATTATTCACAGACCTAGCTTACAAGAATGCCTTAAGGAGACCTTTGGGATGTACAGCAAGCGTTGCCAACTTTGGCAAGTGGATTTAGTTCACTCATTAACTCGAGTGTAGCAGCAAGAAGAAAGTTTGGGCAGGAGGAATGGACATCTGTAGCGGTGCATCAAGATCATCTAATATCCCCAAGCCCAATAACAGAAATTGATTACTTATATTTTGGAGGGATTAAGCTGCTTGCATTATATATATTACCTAATGGCTGATTTATTTATTTTTCTCTTAGTTCTGTGCAAATGATCCAGAAGTGTTTGTCCAAGCCTGTCTGCTGGCTCAGGATTACTGCAATGCCATTGATTTGAACTTGGGTTGTCCACAGATGATTGCAAAACGAGGTATCACAGATCGCTTTTATTTTCTTGATGTGATAAATTACACTGATCCTGACATGATATAAATAATTACTGACTAACCAGGCAATGGGATCACTACGCTGGTTAGCAGTTAGATCTGGCATTTGAGAATTTGCTGGATGAAACGGCAACAGCTTTAGACTTAGCTTTTTGCTGATTGGTCTCTAATGAAACTGAAATGTTTATAGCATTTATCAAAAGTGTTTCAATAAGGAATTAAAGTCCAGTATGGATGGTGCAAGACCATTCCATTCATTGAGTTCATGCTAAAATAAACGGCCTTTAAATTATGAATTTTAAAAGGGAAGTTGCATTAAATATATCATGCTTTTTGCAGTACTATAAATGGAAAAAATAGATTATTTAGACTAAAATGTACTTTGATGTTTTTCCTTATTTAAACACTGCAACTGAATATTGCGCTGTGAAGAGTATTGTAACTTATCCGTAATTTTATAAAACATGCAAGCAAGGATCCAAAGCTGATGGCAATGGCCTGACAATCTTGAAACAGTATGGATTTACTGGATTGGTAACAGTAAAGAATTAATGGCCAATGTCAGTATTATAAACAATGCATTTGAAGAATATTAATTCATAGAGATGATTAAATATAATAATTCATAGAACTGATTAAATAAGAATCTTATCTTGATTGGGAAGTTCTTGAATGATGTCCTGCTGCATTTCTGATATGCGGAACAATTTCTGCGACGAGTTGGACCAAAGGGTCAGTTTTCATGCTGACAGCCATATGACATCTATATGAGTCAAGTGAGTAGTTTTCACAGAGTGTATTAATATAGTAACAGAAGTGTCTTATTTTTCTACAAGCATAGAAAGTTCTGCATTAGAAGCTACTGAAGATGGCCTAAATGTGGATTTTACCAGTTTCAAAATCTTCCCACCCCCGGCCTCATCCTATGTCCAAGCCTCCCTCTCATCCCCACCTCCTTGACCTGACACAACCTGTCCATCTTCTCTCCCACCTATCGGTCACTCTCACCTCACTGACCAATCCCCACCACTGCCTAAATGCACTCACCTAATACCATCCCACCTACCTTCCCCAGCCCCACCCCCCCTCTCTATTTATTTCTGAGCTCCCCTCCCCCTCCCCATTTCTGAAGAAGGGTCCCGTTCCGAAACGTCAACTTTCATGCTCCTCTGATGCTGCCTGGCCTGCTGAGTTCCTCCGGCTCCACACTTTGTTATTTCTGACTCCAGCATCTGCAGTTCTTGCTATCTCATTGAAGTTACTTTGTTCTTTTCCAGTTGATATGCATGTGTCCAATCTTTGGATTGCAGCACCATCTAGTGTGAAATTCTGGTTGTGCAGTTTATGGTGCTATTATACTTACAAATAATTTTACAAACCAAGGAAACAAATTAGTTGCAAATACCTTCATTGCAATGATTCTGAGCATCCACATGACTGAAGTAAATAAATGTTTATTTCAAGTTTTGGTGGGATGCAAGGAACCCAAGATAAAATTCAGGAGTTGACATTAAGGTCTTAATTGTCATCTGATAGTCAGCTTGTATTTTTATGTGCGTCCAGCTGAAAGCAATTTCTAAGTGGGAATACAAGTTTTTAAAATATGCTGTTTACAAACAGTTGGTCTGAAATCATTTCTTGTTATATCTATGGGAATGTGCAAACAAAAATGAGATCAATTATAGAATCTGTTAAAAGAAAAATAAGGCCTGTGAGATGATGTAGTCTGAAGACTATGCCAGTTACGGCACTAATCTTTGCTTGGTTTTAAATTCTGTTAATTTCTAAGTTGTAGGAATGACTAGCCATAAAATATCAAGTTTCATATTTTCTCCTTTTGATCCATTTTTGAAAGATCAATTGTTTCCATAAAAATGATATTGAGGATCTCTTTTTATTGGTAGTCTAATTCCCCATATAAACAGGAAAAATTGTATCAATTATGATCTTATTCTAATTTTAAATAACTTACAGTCTAATTGATAGAAGTATTTGGAGACACAATACTTTTGAGATGGTATGTCATTAGGAATTTGTGGGTGATATGGTCAGTATTTTCCATCCATTTGCATTAAGTGGAGAAGTACAATTTTCCCATTCCAACTTTCCCTATGCGCCATGTAAGGACTCTGTCCTTGGTGTGGGCATTCTGGAAGTTCTATTCATTGAATTTTTCGGATTCTTGCAAGTAGGGATGCTATTTAATCAAGTAAAATTTATTTTGTACAGAATGGCAAGACTAACCAGGATTAAATTTGACATCCAAGTGATTGATCTATTCACAGGGCACTATGGAGCATTTCTGCAGGAAGAATGGGACTTACTACACAAAATGCGTGAGTACCTATTTGGCTATTGAAATTAAAATTTCTGCGCAGAGTCTCCTCATTTTCTTGGAACTGACTAATGTATGTTTTAGTTTTGGCCTTATGTGCTTCTGAGAGATACTTAACATGGATGCAGCATGCTCTCAAATTTTCCCTACCAAACTTTTGCCTCCTCCACACAGCGTATTGTAAATGGAAAATATAAAGGTGATTAAGTGAAGAATTTTTATGGGGTGAGAACTGTGTCATTCAACAATTTGCATGTACCCTACAGATTCAAGCTTTTTTGTTAAAACATGGTTTTCTTTTAATTCATGGGCATATGGGCATTGCTGGCAAAGAAATCCCTAATTACTTTTAGAAAGTGGTGTGAGCTGTGTTTTTGAACCACAGTAATCTGTATGGTGTCTGGTATACCTTTAATGCTATTATGTAAGGAGTTTCATGTTTTTGACCCAGCTGTTGAAAATAATTCAGAAAAATGCACACACAGTCATGTTGTCAAACTATATAATTCTTAGTTTAGGAGACACAATTAGTACACGGTATGGGAAGGGGAAGTGAGGAGAAGCAAAATGATGTGAGCAAAAGATTGCTTGTTAACTGTCTTAGTAATAACACACATGAATCTGCTAGTGTTTGCTGAGTTCTAAGGGCATTCTAACCCTATATAGGTGTCAACAATGGGTCACTTGGTTTTTGGGTGCGATGTCAAGCCATAAGATACAGGAGCAGAATTTGGCCATTTTACCCATCAAGTCTGTCCACTATTCAATCATGGCTGATATATTTCTCATCATCATTTTCCTGCCTTCTCCCCATAACCCTTGATCCCCTTACTATTAAGAACCTATATATTTCTGTCTTAAATGACTCTTAAACACTCAATGACTTGGCTTCCACAGCCTTCTGTGGCAATGAGTTCTACAGATTCATCAGTCTCTGGCTGAAGAAATTCCTCCTCATCTCAGTTCTAAAGCGTTGTACCGAGACTCCATTTTCTCTCCTAAGATGAATGTAAAAAAATCTCAGTAAACTATTTTGAAGAAGAATAGTGAGGTTCTCCCTGGTTTCCTGACCAAAATTTAGCATCAGTCATCATTAAAAAAAGCAGATTATTTGTCATTGTCACATTGCTGTTTGTGAGAGCTTGCTCTGTGCAAATTGCCTGCTTTATTTCTTACAGTGACAGTGACTACCCTGCAAAAAATTTAACTGGTTATAAAACGATTAGGGACATCCTGAGGTCATGACAAGTGCTATATAAGTACAAATCTTTTTTTTTAATCACCTTGTGACAAGTTCCTGATTTTAGCAGGGAACTTGGGAAAGTGCGTTGAGTAAAAACAGATTCATCAGCAGAAAAGGGGAACCGAAACTAGTGGGTGTGCCAACCTGGTGCACCTAGCATTTCAGAGTAAGTTGCTTGTTTATCTCAAAGAATGAAAATAGAGGTAGGACAAAATGAGAAGAAATGTATTAATTATGTTTAACTTACACTCCTTTCTCAGTTTCTGAGGCACATAAGAGAATCTCTGTTCCTATCACATGCAAAATCCGGGTTTTCCCAGAAATCAGTAAAACTGTGCAGTATGCAAAGATGTTGGAGAAAGCAGGTTGCCAGGTAAATAAATGCATTCCTATCTTATGTTTGAATAATTCTTAATTTGCTGGAAGTTTTAATCCTGTAGGTAATGAGTTATCTGGCACACATTACTCGATCATATTCATACCAATTCACACTTAGTGGTGTGTCATGATTCAGAGCTGCCTATTATTCAGTAATCACCTTATCAATCCAATATGATCGTATTGGAAGATAAGGAGTAACTTATGTTTAGGAGCTATCAATTTTTTTTGTCAGTTTTGAAAGAAAATCTAAATTCAACTGGCCAAATTCCGAAATTTTAAAACAATGAGAGCAGCTTTTGTTCTTTAGCAAAATAGTTAACTTGCTTATTACAAATAAGCATCAGAACTGAAGATGCTGTGCTGCAGTTAATTGATGATGCAAATATGCCTGGTTGTTTCTTTTGAATCTACAGAAATCTGGAAAGAGCAATTTAACTAGTGAATATTTTTGCATATACAGAGTTATGATCCCATCTGATGGTAAAACTAGACAAGTCAGAAATCAGTGAAATCTGATTTAATAGAAGAATTAGAATTAGGTTTATTGTCAATAGATCATAAGCTTATTCCACTGCTAATGTTCTTTAATAAAAGAACACAATTTACACAAGAAACAAACAAGGCTATATTATATATATTTCCAGTTAATAAATACTGTTTAGAAAGTCTTAATAAAACAACTAAACAAAAATTCAACCCTTTTTCTTCCTAGTAGTGCCCTTGACAGGCACTCTATCCCAGCACAATATCATTCATATCTTCACCTTTTAATTTTTTACTTAATTGACTGCCTCAGTTTTAATGGTCTAGAGATCACTTTCCAGTTTTGATTCCCAGATTCCTTTTCAATCCTGATGGCCTAGAGACTTCTTTCCAGCTCTGGCCTATAACTTCTTTGCAGTTCTGACAGCATAAAAACTTGTATACAAACTCTCACACCTTGGAGACTTCATGACCCCTCATAACTTGCTCTTATGCTATGGTAAAACTGTTCTTCTGCACTGAATACCTGATGCTACTGAATTCAAATGATTCTGAATGCAAAAAGCGAGTGGCCCCAATCTCCTTTCTCTATATATCATAAAAATTCAACTTTAAAAATTTTCATCAATTAACTCCATGGTATCCTGCTAGACACAGAACTGAAGTTACCTGCTTTCTTGGATATGGTGCCTATAATTTACTGTTTCAAGTTACTTTCTGACCTATTTTCAAACCAGACATTACCTTTAAAGAACTGCAACCTCACGCACATTTTACCCCCTACTTTAAGAACATAGAACAGTACAGCACAGTACAGGCCCTTCAGCCCATGATGTTGTACCGAACTTTTACCCTAAACCTAAGGTTTATCTAACCTCCACCCCTACCTTATACTATCCTCCATATGCCTATCTAATAGCTGCTTAAATGCCCCTAATGAGGCCGATTCTACTACCCTCTCCGGAAATGCATTCCATGCCCCTACCACTCTCTGAGTAAAGAACCTACCTCTGATGTCTCCCCTATATCTACCTCCACTCACTTTAAAACTATGCCCCCTCGTAATAGCTACCTCCACCCTAGGAAAAAGTCTCTGGCTGTCCACTCTATCTATACCTCTGATCATATTGTACACCTCTATCAAGTCATCTCTCATCCTTTGTCGTTTTAAAGAGAAAAGCCCTAGCTCTCTCAACCTTTCCTCGTAAGACCTTCCCTCCATTCCAGGCAACATCCTGGTAAATCTCCTCTGCACCTTTTCCAACGCTTCCACATCTTTCCTGTAATGAGGTGACCAGAACTGGACACAATACTCCAGATGTGGCCGAACCAGGCTTTTGTATAGCTGGAGCATAACTTCACGGCTCTTGAACTCAATCCCTCTATTAATGAAAGCTAACACACCATACACCTTCTTAACAATTCTATTCACCTGGGTGGCAGCTTTCAACTGTGGACATGAACCCCAAGATCCCTCTGCTCCTCCACACTGCCAAGAATCTTTCCGTTAACACTGTATTCTGCTTTCAAGTTTGTCCTTCCAAAATTAATCACCCCACACTTTTCAGGGTTAAACTCCATCTGCCACTTCTCAGCCCAGCTCTGCATCCCATCAATGTCCCTTTGTAACCTAGAACAGCCCTCTGCACTATCCACAACTCAACCCACCTTCGTATCGTCCACGAACTTACCAATCCAGCCTTCCACTCCTACATCCAAATCATTTACAAAAATCACAAATAGAAGACGCCCCAGAACAGATCCTTGTGGTACACCACTCGTAACTGAGCACCATGTTGAATATTTTCCGTCCACTACCACCCTTTGTCTTCTAAGGGTCAGGCAATTCTGAATCCAAACTGCCACATTTCCCCCTCTCCCATGCCTCCTTACTTTCTGCATGAGCCTACCATGGGGAACCTTATCAAACGCCTCACTTAAATCCATGTATACCACATCCACTGCTCTACCTTCATCCACATGTTTGCTCACCTCTTTAAAGAATTCAGTAAGGTTTGTGAGGCATGATCTACCCCTCACAAATCCATGCTGATTATCACGAATCAAACTGTGCCTATCCAAGTGATCATAATTCCTATCTCTCAGAGCCCTTTCCAATAATTTGCCCACCACTGAAGTAAGACTGACTGGCCTGTAATTTCCAGGGTTATCCCTGTTCCCTTTTTTGAACAAGGGAATGACGTTTGCCACTCACCAATCTTCCGGCACTATACCCGTGGACAGTGAGGACGAAAAGATCATTGCCAAAGGCCCTGCGATTTCTTCCCATGCTTCCCATAGAATCCTTGGATAAATCCCATCAGGCCTAGGGGACTTATCTATCTTCAAGCTCCTCAAAATTCCTAGTACATCTTCCTTACTAACATCGACCTCCTCTAGCCTACCAGCCTGTTTCACACTGTCCTCCCCTACAACTAGGTCCCTCTCAGTTGTGAATACCGAAGAAAAGTATTCATTAAGTACCTCTCCTTTCTCTTTAGGCTCCGTGCACAAATTCCCTTTACAATCCTTGATCAGCCCTACCCCTACTCTGGTCATTCTCTTATTCCTCACGTACGTGTAAAAAGCCTTGGAGTTTTCCTTGATCCTGTCTGCCAAGGTTTTCTCATGCCCCCTTCTGCTCTCCTAAGCCCTTTCTTCAGCTCCTTCCTGGCTAACTTGTATCCCTCTAGAGTCTTTTCCGATCTTTGTTTCCTAAACCTTATGTAAGCATCCTTCTTCCCCTTAACTAGTTGTTCAACCTCTCTCGAGAACCAAGGCTCCCTCACTTGACCGCATCTTCCCTGCCTGCTAGGGCCAAACATATCGAGCACACACAGTATGCATTCCTTAAACAATCTCTACATTTCAATAGTGCTCTTCCCTGACAGCATCTGTTCCCATTTTCTGTTACCCAGTTCTTGCCTAACAGAATTATAATTACCCTTCCCCCAATTATAAACCTTACCCTGCTGTATGTACCTATCCTTTTCCATGACTATAGTAAAAGTAACAGAGTTATGATCGCTACTGCCAAAATGCTCTCATACCAACAGGTCTAACACTTAGCCCGGTTCATTGCCAAGCACCAAATCCAAAGTGGCCTCTCCTCGTGTTGGTCTATCTACATATTTTGTCAGGAATCCTTCCTGAACGCACTGGACAAAATCCGCTCCATCTAAACTTACAACTAAAAAGTTGCCAATCAATATCTGGAAAGTTGAAGTTACCCAAGACTACAACCCTGTGACTTCTGCACCTTTCCAGTATCTGCCTCCCAATCCGCTCCTCCACTTCCCTGCAACTATTAGGGGGTCTGTAAAAAACCCCCAACAAAGTGACTGCTCCTTTCTTGTTCTGGACCTCAACGCAAACTGACTCGGTAGACATATCATTCTCAAACTGCCTTTCAGTAGCTGCTATATTAGCCCTGACTAACAATGCCACTCCCCCACCTCTTTTTCCACTCTCCCTATTTCTTTTAAAGCATCTAAATCCTGGAACTTCCAACAACCATTCCTATCCCTGAGTTACCCAAGTTTCTGTAATGGCCACAACATCGTAGTTCCAAGTATCAACCCATGCTGTAAGTTCATCCGCCTTATTTCTGATACTTCTAGCATTGAAGTATACACACCTCAAACCATCTGTGTCCACAATTACTCTCCATCGACCGCATTTCTTTATAAACAACCTCACTCCCTGTTGTGTCCGTTGGAAGGCTGAATACCTCATCCTCTGAATTATAAATCTGGTTCCCCACCCCCTGCCAATCTAGTTTAAACCATCCTGTATAGCTCGAGCAAACCTCCCTCCCAGGATATTAGTGCCCTTCCGGCTCAGGTGCAACCCGTCCTTACTGTACAGGTCCCACCTTCCCCAGAATGCACTCCAATTATCCACATAATGGAAGCCCTCCCTCCTACACCAGCCCTGTAGCCATGTGTTTAGCTGCACTCTCCCTATTTCTTACCTCGTTATCACGTGGCACTGGTAGTAATCCAGAGATAACTACCCTGTTTGTCCTGGACTTCAGCTTCCAACCTAACTCCCTGTACTCGGTTTTCACATTCTCAGTCCTTTTTCTACCTATGTTGTTGGTACCGATGTGTACCATGACTGCTGGTTGCTCACCCTCCCCCTTAAGGATCTTGAAGACACGATCTGAGACGTCACGGACCCTCGCACCCGGGAGGCAACATACCATCCGTTTTGTCTTGTTCGTGTCCACAGAACCGCCTGTCTGTGCCTCTTACTATTGAATCCCCCATTACAATTGCTCTCCTATTCTCCCCCTTTCCCTTCTGTGCCACACTGCCAGGCTCAGTGCCACAGACCTGTCCGCTATGGCCTTCCCCTGGTAGGTCGTCCCCCCCAACAGTATCCAAAACGGTATACTTATTATTGAGGGGAACGGCCACAGGGGATCCCTGCCTGTCTGCCTATTCCCTTTCCCCCTCCTGACAGTCACCAGCTACCTTTTTCCTGTACCTTGGGTGTGACCATCTCCTTATAACTCCTCTGTGTCACCCCCTCAGCCTCCCGAATGATCCAGAGTTCATCCAGCTCCAGCTCCAGTTCCTTAACGCGGTTTGTGAGGAGCTGTAGTTGGGTGCACTTCTCGCAGGTGAAGTCAGAGGGGACACCAGCAATGACCCTTACCTCCCACATCCTGCAAGAGGAGCATGCAACTGCCCTAGCTTCCGTTTCCTCTACTCTAGATTTCCAGAAGAATAAAAAAAACCCTTACCTTACTGACCTTCACACAGTCTTTTTTTCGGTTAAAGGAGAAGGATGGGTGGGAGACACTACACATGTAGTGTTTCGGGTTTAGCCAATGCCGAATATATTAGTTCACTTCCTGGCTCGCGTTCTTTCCACTCCCGCCGCTGAAAGCAAAAAGGCACCTGTTGCACAAGGTAAGTTTTTATACAGAAAAGCCTTACCTTCCCGCCTGCACCCTGGCTCGTGTTCTCTCCACTCCTGCCGCTGAAAGCAAGAAGTTCAAAAGATTGTATATTAAGTACCTGTTTTCACAAACAACCCTTTGCAACAGCCATTGCACTATATTTTGAAGCTCTAAATTGTTTTAGTGTTATAAAACATCAACTAAATGCAAAGTTACTTCTTTCTATAGCTAGAATCCAGATATATTTGAATTTGGAGAATTAAAATGAGTTCAGAAACACTGATCTACATTCAATTTCAGGAGAAAGTAGCCAAAGCAAAAACTGTAATTCAAGTGTGCAGCATTCAACTGCATTGCGTGAATTGGTTTGGCAAGTTTTTGTACTTGTGCACTAAGGACTGTTAATATCTTAGACAAATCAATATGACATAAGTCAAGTTTTTAGTTTGGTTATAGAGACCACTATCCAATAAATTTGTGTTGTGTCAACTCAACTTCTTGTGGGTACATACTCTCAACACAAAACTGCTTTAAATTTTATACGTATTAAGATTTAGTAACAGACCCATAAATTCTTTCAGACATCTTTATAAGAATGCTGTTCTTTTTGTAAATATTAATACTGCTTGGAAGATGAGAATCATTTTCTTCTCAGCAATCTGATATTCAAATGCAGTGAGTCATATTCCAACTAAACAGATCTACAAAACATTTTGTGGGTCAAAAACAAATGCTTATTCGGGTTTATTTCAGTCAAATTCATCATTGTACAGTTAAAAGAACAATTATGTTTTTTCCACGTAACTGCTACTGACTTTAGTACTGTCTAAATGTTATGGTTTTAAATATTTCTGTTTTAAATTTGATAAATTTGAATATATTTCAGCTATTAACTGTTCATGGTCGTACCAAGGAACAAAAGGGACCTCTGACAGGTGTAGCAGACTGGGAACACATAAAAGCTGTGAGGTGAGAAGCAAATATTAACAAACACTGTACTAAGCAATAGGTGACAAATACAGCATTACACCAGAACTATCAATGAATTCTTCGCAATATTATCATCAGAAAAAGGAGTGAAATAATTCAGAATTAAGAATGGAATCTTGGCTTCTTTGTGGTCATGTCATCAAAGTCCGACAATTAAAATAAAAGCAAATTTTGTTCAATTTAAAGTGAACACCTACAAAGGGTTAAAGATTTTAATCCTGAAAGTTTTAAATTTTGGAATTTGTTTTGTGTTTAATGCTATCAGATGATGATGGTTATGTGTTTTTTTGTTACCATGCAAGAGCAAACTGCAAGAGCAATACTAGTCTCTTCAAGCCCATTCTCATTTACGCAATACTTTTTGATTTCCCTTACTTCATCTGCCTTTGAGGAAGTAGCCTTGCAGCATAACTCACAAATATTTAATAAAACTCTGTAAAACAGTCTAATTTTTAGTATGTAGGATTCAATCAGTGTCTGACTGATGGGGCAACACTCGAGTTTTTTTCATCAACAGTGGATACCATTTCATTAATTTCTATGAACGTGTTGATGTTCCCTCCACAGCGCTTTGTGTATTACAACATTTTTGGAGCTTCCTGTTTCACATCATTCAATCCTAATGGTTTTGAACAGGATTGCAGTGTGAAAGCTTACCTAGTATCACTGCATTTTACCACTTTGCATAGTTTCTAAAGTTCACAGATTCACATAATGAGTAACATTTAGAAGGAGGCCTTTTGACTCATTACGCATGCGTGATTCTACAAATGAATGATAAGCTGAGTGCCATTCTCCTGCCTTGTTCCCATAACCCAGTAAATTCTTCCTTTTTGGTTACCTGTCTAATTCCCTTTTGAATGATTCATTGCTTTGAACACACTCTCAAGCAGTGCAGTCCAGATTTTAACCAGTCACTCCTTAAAGCTTTTTTCTGTTCTTGGCTTTGCTTCATGCCAAGTTCCTAGTCAAGTAAATGCTAAATGGAATTCACTATGTAAACACAACAGTGTCCAGTTGTGCAAAATATTTAATGCATCAGAAGTTCTGATGTTAGATCATCAACCTGAACTGGTAACTCCATTTTCCCCTTTACACATGTTGCCTGACTTGCTGAGTGTTTACAACATCTTCTGTTTTCATTTCAGCTTTCCACCGTTCACAGTATTTTGATTTTGTAAACCTAGGGTTTACATTGGCAATACAGAGTGTTAGAACAGGGAAATAATATTATGCATTTAAAAAAGAAGCTGAGGGTTCAAGAAACATGGTATTTGATTTGGATTGTGAGCATGTAACAAGAAATTCATCTCTTACAATTAATTATCTTTAAGTGAACTATAGATTAGAAGGTATTTTTCTTACCAGGGCAATGTAATCCTTAATCAAAGCTGTATATTCCCTAACATTGTAATACAAAGGAGTCTCCTCTGCAGCTATGTTTGTGACAGGTTTTACCTTTAATATACATTTTCATATACAAAGGTCAAGCTAGACACCACAATTGATCTTATTCAACTACATTGATAATTCACTACAAGTTTGATAACTGAAGATTTTCCTAGGAAAAAAAAAATGAAGTATATTGTTTAATGCAGGAAAGAAGTTAACATCCCTGTTTTTGCAAACGGCAACATCCAGTACCTGAGCGATGTAGAGCGATGCATTCAGGAAACGGACGTACAAGGTGTAATGAGTGCGGGTATGTGCCCAAAACAAATTTACTTCAGCTACTTTCTAGTTCACATGATGGATTTTGGTTTATGTTTTTACTTTGCTACATTATATCAATATATATAAAATCTTGTGCCAGCATGCGTTGCCCATTGACTAAACATTCTGATTGCCAACATTTCCATTGTAAATTACTGTATCTATAATTAAAATGGAAATTGACTCTAAACCTGTCATGCTGCAATTATGCAGAAGCAGCTTAATTTTGTATTTCCAAACTTAATCTGTACAAAAGAGAAATTTCAGCACTCTGGCCAACAATTTCAAATTGCTCTCAGTTTTGCTATTTTACTATAAGCTACATAGAATCATAGAATCCCTACAGTGTGGAAACAGGCCCTTCGGCTCAACAAGTCCACACTGACTCTCAGAGCATCCCATCCAGACCCATCCCCCTATAACCCACCTAATCTACACATCCCTCAACACTATGGGCAATTTTTCATGGCCAATCCACCTAGCCTGCACATTTTTGGACTGTGGGAGGAAACCGGAGCACCCGGAGGAAACCCACGCAGACACGGGGAGAATGTGCAAGCTCCACACAGACAGTTGTCCGAGGGTGGAATTGAACCCGGGTCCCTGGCACTGTGAGGCAGCAGTGCTAATCACTGAGCCACCGTGCCGCAAAGATTAATGTAAAATAAATATAGAATGTGACTATACCATAGGAATATAATCACCTTTGTAGCATGATCAAATTATTCCTGAACCCTCTAATTCCATTTCACTGGAGGACTAATACTTGATCTTCACTTTTTATGTGTAATGCCTTTGATATTGATACAAGTTAAGAATGAAACAAAGCAAATAAACTTTCCAGGAAGGTCGGAAAGAATAGTCATAGGAAAACTCTATCCTGTATTTAGAAGAAAAAGCTTAAGTTTTGCCAAATTAGTTAATATGTGCACTTATTTCCAGATCTCACTTATACCTCTGGTATCAAAGTAATAGTTAGGTAATCCGTTCCTGGGGTAGTCACCAAGAGTCAAGGGTATGTTGCACCTGATTTTTACCTCACTCCTGCCGGAAACAGTCCCGATTGAAAACTAAACAGACTGGAAAACCCAAACGTCTTGTGCATAAGCTACTGTTAGTGAAGGATTGCTATAAATATTCTAAAACAGTAGTAGACAAATGATAAAAGTAAGCATCCAAAATAATGTAGATTAATTTACTATTGAATATTTAACAATGCATTCTGAGACCTGTGGATGCTAGTTCACTGATGAAACAATATTAATTTCTTAAGTCCACACTAAAAGAGAAGTCACGGATCTCCTACTAGGTCAGGGCTAAAATGTGCTTTAAACAGATTTCTTCAAAAAAAAAGCTTCCGTCCCCATGAAGTATTCTCCACATACGTAACAATGAGCACAAGATTATATACAATCATTCCATGGCATAATTACATTGAATATAAACCACAGCAAAAGACCATTTGGTCCATATGCATTTTACTAGACCCATGCGTCTCCCTGTCCTTCCTCATTGGTACATCAGTGTGCTTTAGCATTGATTCACCAGAGATATTTGCAATAAAGAGAATAAAAACAAGTGTGGGTAAAATTACATGCACTTTCTAATTCCGAAATACACATGCTAGTTATTTCATAATTTTTACCAAGCACATAATTTGAAGGAACTTTAGTTGGTGGGGAAAAAAGGTAGCAAAATGAAGAAGCATTAGCTGGAAATTCCAAGAGGCAGATCAGCTTGCTGAAAAATTTGCAAACAGGCTTTAAGTAATTAAAGGGAAAATGGCAATTTTATTAAATAGCGTTGTTTATTTGTTTGTCTGATCATAAAAATAAACTGCCCATGGGAGGGGGATGTCGTCAAAAGAAACTTGGATCCTGATAACAAGTGGCTGAAGATGTCTGTTTTTCAAAAAAACAAGTTTAGGAATCTGTGTTTTTTCAAAGCTAAATTTGAACATGAAAACTTTGTATCAGTTGTTTAATATGATTTATTACATATTGCCTGTTCATATCTATTTTCATTTCTGGCATCAGCTTTCAGTCTGAATCATCCCTGTTATAGCTATGCTTTGGAGAGTGTGATACTGATGCTTCCTCTAGTGAAATCAAATGGAACTTCATGATGGCACCTGGTTGTACAATTGACCATTAAGTGTAAAGTTAATTATAAGTTCATTGCGTACCTTTTTCAGTACCCTTTGTGTTCCTGGACTCCATGCCATTTTAAAGGATCTTGAATAATTTGATAAAGAGCATAGGATGCACACAAGATTTTTCAAAGTGAGAAGTCATTTTTGATATGCCCTCTTTAAAATAAACACATCTGAGTCCTCACCAATTCCATTTTAAAGCGTGGATTTTGGTTTCATAACATTCAACATATTTTCTATTTCTCCTGCAACTTTATACAATTCAGCACTATAAAGTCAATGAGAACAGGAAAGGGAAGATATTTGTCTAGTAAAATGCAACTTTCCGCAATTTATTATACCAAAACAGGAATTGGACATGGGAAGATCAATGTGAAAGACTCTTTTACACAAGCCAAAGAGACTTTAATAAAGTCAGATGTCCTGACGCACTTTGACCCATAATTACTGTTGCAACTGACACCACAATATGGAGTAGGAGCAGTTGTTTCTCACATCTTGCCCATTGTGAAAGAAGCTCTCGGAAACATTTTTGACATTAGATGATTCTACCAATGTCTGTGTGGTTGGGAATTTGCCCTTCTAACAGACTGTTGATCATAATATTTGGGCCTCACACAGGGATACCTTCTCTAGCAGCAATTCACATGCAGAGGTGGGTGTTGTTGCTCACACTTATACAATTATGTTTCAGCAATCCAACTTACATGGGAATACTGATGGGCTTTCTAGATTTTCTTTGCCAAAGAGTCAACTACAAACAGTCCTTATGTAGACACTTCCAACTTGGAACAAATAGATTTCACTTCGGTATCAGCAGGACAAGTTAAGAAGAACACTAGAGATGAGCCATAACCATCAAAAGTGATGGACATTGTACTTTGAGGCAAGATCATAGGAGCAACCCCAGAACTGAAGCCATATTGTCACATGGAAGCTAGAACTATCTGCACAGGCAGGATGTCTCCTATGGGGAATAAGGTTAATCATTCCACCACAACTAAGAAAATGCATGTTAAATCAACTATATGCAGGTCACAGTGGCATTGTCAAAATCAAGGTGATAGCCAGAAGCTATTTTTGATGCCCAGGGTTTGACTCTGAAATTGAGGAGAGAGTGGGAATGTATGCAGCTTGTGCAAGAGCTTGCAACCTACCTCTGTCAGTGCCATTACATCCAGGGGAATGGCCAGAAAGCCATGGCAAAGAATTCCTATTGACTACACAAGACCTTTTGAAAGACAACTTTCTTATAGTGGTTGCTGCTATTAAATGGCCTGAAGTTGCCGTCATGAAATTGACATCTTCAGAGAAAACCATTGAAAGATTGGGAGAGATCTTTGCAAGGTTTGGTTATCTGGAACAACTTGTTAGTAATAACGGTCCACAATTCGTATCACACGAGTTTTCAGGCTATTTAAAACAAAACAGAACAGAATTGAATAGATCCGATCAGCTCATTATCACCTTACCACAAATGGTTTGGCAGAAAGGTTTGTTTAGACAATGAAACATTCCTTAGGGGTATTTCAAGAACAAGCATCATTATCCAAAAGACTGAGGCAATGTTTGTTAATATTCTGCAACACAAACCACTTGACAACTTGGGGTTCTGCACCATTGCTCATGGTAAAGCAACAGTTGCACACAGCATTTTATTTGCTGAAACCACCCATAACATTGTTGACCGGAAACAACAAAATCAGGTTTTCTAATGACATCCAAAAAGGTCAAGAAGTGTTGACGAAGAATTACTGCACTGGCAAAAAATGGATGCCAGCCATTATTATAGCATAGACTAGGCTGCTTTCTTATAACATACAGGTAATAGGTGATGTAGTATGGATAAGCCATGCAGATCAGCTCTAGGAAACCAGAAGCAATGTGCCAGGAACAACATTAATTAAAGATCCACAGGTAACTGTGCCAAATAGAGACCTAGATATACTTGAGGACAGAACAGTAAGTGGAACACGTGAGGGGAGTTACGGCATTGTGCAAACCTCCCAATCTTCAGCTGTCTCAGGAAAAGACAACAACAAATGATGTTTCTAGGACACGTAGAACACCAGAGATTAAGGCTAATGAGAAAAATAAACTGAAGTCTGAGGTGCACTAACAGCCATACAGGAATCGACGTCCTCCAGAACATCATGCCTGCTGACTTGTATATGTGATTTTAAATGTAATGCATGTTGTCATTGCAGAAATTTCGAATTTAAAAGGGGAGGGATGGTGTATAGAGATAACAAGGTGTAGGGCTGGATGAACACAGCAGGCCAAGCAGCATCGGAGGAGCAGGAAAGCTGACGTTTTGGGCCTAGACCCTTCTTCAGAAATGGGGGAGGGGAATGGGGGTTCTGAAATAAATAGGGAGAGAGGGGGAGGCAGATAGAAGATGGAGAGAGGAGAAGATAGGTGGAGAGGAGACAGGTGAAAGACGCGGAGATGGAGCCAGTAAAGGAGAGTGTAGGTGGGGAGTTAGTGGGGGGATAGGTCAGTCCAGGGAGGACAGACAGGTCAAGGGGGTGGGATGAGGCTGGTAGGTAGGAGATGGGGGTGGGGCTTGAGGTGGGAGGAGGGGATAGGTGGGAGGAAGGACAGGTTAGGGAGGCGGGGATCAGCTGGGCTGGTTTTGGGATGGGGTTGTGGGAAGGGAGATTTTGAAGCTTGTGAAGTCCACATTGATACCATTGGGCTGCAGGGCTCCCAAGCAGAATATGAGGTGCTGTTCCTGCAACCTTCGGGTGGCATCGTTGTGGCACTGCAGGAGGCCCAAGATGGACATGTCGTCTGAGGAATGGGAGGGGGACTTGAAATGGTTCACAACTGGGAGGTGCATTTGTTTAGTGCGAACCGAGCGTAAGTGTTCTGCAAAGCAGTCCCCAAGCCTCCGCTTGGTTTCCCCGATGTAGAGGAGGCCACAACGGGAACAGCGGATGCAGTATACCACATTAGCAGATGTGCAGGTGACCATCTGCTTGATGTGGAAAGTCTTTTTGGGGCCTGGGATGGGGATGAGGGGGGAGGTGTAGGGGCAGGTGTAGCACTTCCTGCGGTTGCAGGGAAATGTGCCGGGTGTGGTGGGGCTGGAGGGGAGTGTGGAGCGGACAAGGGAGTCGCGGAGAGAGTGGTCCCTCCGGAAAGCAGATAAGGGTGGGGAGGGAAAAGTTGGTGGTGGGGTCGGATTGCAGATGGCGGAAGTGTCGGAGGATGATGCGTTGGATCCGGAGGTTGGTAGGGTGGTACGTGAAGACAAGGGGGAACGAGGGGGATGGTGTATATTTGTGTTAAGTATGGTGGACTGTCATCCAGCCACAAGTCTGATCATGTGATGTGATGATGATGTCATCAGCCATTATGGACAGGTAGAAACCTCTCTTAAGTTTGCTGTCTGTAGAATAAACACCTCCATAATAAAAGTGCTGCTGTTTAATGCTTCCGCCTCCTGGTCCTTCTTGGAACATAACATGTGTTCCGTTTTTAAATTACATGGTGAAAATCCGAAGACTTGGAAGAATGATAGCTGAAGCGTTTTTCTTTGTAACAGAATGCAGTTTACCAACCAGACATGAAATTACAAATAAAGGTATAAAAAAAAGTGGGAAAAATAATGGGAAAATACTGCTAGCAGAAGTAAAATGGCTATTTTATATTAAGCTGAACAAACTGAGAAGGAACGTGCATTTATGTTGTGTCTTTCGTGATTTCTAGAAGAAAATATCACTGACACCAGTGATCTGGGGCTGTGTTATAGTTAGCAGGAAAAACCTGAGATTCTGGCAATGTTTCCGTTTGAGCAGTGACATTTTTTTAAACCATATAGATTTTGACAAGTGTTATTATGCAAGCATTCTTCACTCTGATTGAGAAATCCATTAAAATGAATTATTAATTTAAAATCACCAGATTAAAACGAAAGGTAAGCAGAGAGCTAGTGGAGTATGGAATACTTTGCCTGAGTGAGTGGGTGAACCTGAGAGCATTGCTGTTTTAAGGACAAATTAAATCTATAAATGCCCGGGCTGCAAGACATGCACATTTTCATTGTGAGGATAAACATGCTTTGTTTGCAGAAAGTGTTTTGAGCAAAGTAATTAAAAGACAATTTGTGCTTTGTAGGTGGTGAATAACAGCTTGCACAGAATTTTTTTCGTAAACAAACTCATGTTGCATAAGATTCTATGTAAAGTACAACACCCAAGTCGGCTGCATATGTATAAAATTGTACCAGAGATTACAGTAATATTTTAAAGTTGTCACAACATAGTTTTGAGGCATGAGTTAAAACCTGTTCCAGGGCTCTCCTTATGACTTTGCAAGTTTATCCATTGACTAGCTGAGCCGTACGGGCCGTAAAGGTCTGTAGATTAATCCCAAATCTCAATTGTCTTCAGCAGGATCAGTGATGACCATCCTGTTGAAATCTCTGATTATAGAGGAAAATTGGTCTCAAAGATTTGTTAGAAATGATGGAGGAAAGTTTCAGACATGGGTGTTGAATGAGATCAAGATAAAGCTTAAGCATAGGTAACAACCACTAACACTACTAGTGTTTGGTAGACTATTATCCATATAACTGCGTCACAATAAGATCTCAGTGACTTCATGAGAGATATATAGAAAGGAGAGAAAATTGAAAGGGAAAATATGTAGATAACAGATCTGATTAGTTACTTAATGTACTCATACAAATTTTTCTTCCTTTACCTGACAGAGGGCAATCTTCATAATCCAGCTCTTTTTGAAGGCCGCAAGCCACCTGTATGGGAGATGGCAGAAGAGTATTTGGAGATTGTCAACCAATATCCTTGTCCACTTTCATTTGTTAGAGCTCATCTCTTCAAACTCTGGCATCACACGTGAGTCAGTGAACAAATTCTCATCGATGATGGCTTATTTTACATTTTGCCGTGAAAGAATTAATCACAATGACAGTTTAGATAACACACTAAACTTTTATTTACTGTGTGTTTGGTCTTTGTGATTGAAAAAAAATGTGAAGTAGGAAAAAGATGCAACCAATTTGCACAGTGAGCAAACAGAAATGAGAGAACTGATCAAATAATCTGTTTAGTGACATTGATTGAGAAATAGATGTTTGCTTGGCACCACAGAGAAACTCCCTTCACCCTCTTCTTTTAAGTTCACCGAAGAGAGCAATTAATTGTAAAGCAAGTATTTGATAGTCTTAGCTAAACGATGACACCTCCAATAATGTGGCACTCCCTTATCAAAAGTATCAGCTTATGTCATAATTAAATTTTGTAGTATTGTTTGAATACTTTTTTTGTACAGATGGGAGATTGCTGTTAGTCATGATTACACATTTTATGTCAAAAGTGGTGCATTGATCTAAAAATCTGGAGGACATGGAATTGAAAAGGCATGCCTTTTGACCAAATGTGGCACTAAGGAGTGCCAGCAAAACTGAAGTCATTGGGAATCAGGGAGAAGACTCTCCATTCATTGAAGTGTAGCCAGCACAAAGGAAAATGGTTTTTTTTTGAGGTTGATCCCCTACATGCTAGGATATTGTTACAGGAGTTCCTCAGGGCAGCGTCCTAGGCCCAACCATCTTCTACTTCATCATTAATCTTTCCTCCATTATAAGGTCAGAGGTGGAAATGTTTGCTGATGATTGCATGTGTTTAAATACCATTATATACAGCAAGACGTGGACATTATTTAGGATTGGGTTGATATGTAGCAAGTATCATTTGCATCATACAAGTGCCAGTTAATGGCCATCCCAAACAAGAGATAATCTAATCACCTTCACTTGACATTCACTGGAGTTTCATAGCTGGAGCCTCTGACTATCAACATCCTGGGACTAGCATTGACCAGAAACTTTAACTGAAACAGCCATGTAAATACTGTGGCTAGAAGAACAGATTAGAGTCTGGGAATTCTGTTGCAAGTATCTCACCTTCAGACTCCCCAAAGTCTGTTCACCATTTCCAATAGCAAGTCAGGAATCTGATGGCATGCTGCCAATTTTCTTGGCTGATTGCAACAACACTCAAGAAAAACAATACCACCCAGGGCAAAGCAATCCAATTTACTGGCACCTAATCCACCACCTTAATAAATTCACTCCCTTGACTGTTATACATCATGGCAGAAGTATGTACCATCTACAAGATGCACTGCAGCAACTCACCGATACTTTTCTGACAGCACCTCCCAAATCCATGGTTTCTGCCACTTGTGTGCAGGAGTTACCTCTGGCAAGGGATTATAATATGAATGGTGGGACCCTGGAAAGTACTGAAGATCACTAGAGATCTTGGTGTCCATATCCCTGAAGGTACTAGGGCAGTTAGATAACGTAGTTAAGAAGGCATACGGTATACTTGCCTTTATTAGTTGAGGCATAGAATACAAGAGTAAGAAGGTTGTGGTGGAATTGTATAAAACATTGATTAGGCAACATCTGGAGTATAGCATGCAGTTCTAGTAACTACATTTTGAGAAGGATGTGATTGCACTAGTGAGGGAGCAGAGGAGATTTACCAGGATGTCACCTGGGCTGGAGGGCCTGAGCCTTGAGAAAAGATTGGATAGGCTGAGGTAGTTTTTCTTGGAGCAGCAAGTTTGAAAGGGAGTCTGATAGAGGTGTATAAGATTGTAAAGGGAGTATAGAGGGTGGGTAGGAAGGTACTCATTTCATTAATAGATGAGTCAATAACCAAGGGGATAACTTTAAGGTATGAGGTAGAAGGCTAAGAGGAAGGTCGAGAAATTTCTTTTCATTCAGAGGATGGTGAGAATGTGGAACTTGCTGCTTGAAAGAGTGCTTGCGGAAGAAACTCTCGTAACATTTAAGCAGTTAGATTTAGATATTCATTAGTGATGCCATAGCCTTTGTGGCTTTGGGCAAAAGCTGGGAAGTGGAATTAGTGTAGTCAGATTTTTGGCATGGGTGTGTTGGGCTGCCCACCTCCCCCCCCCAAACTTCCTTCCTGTGCTCTAAACATCTATGAGTCTGTGAGGGTGCATGGGTACACTGTGACCTGCAAGTTCCCCTGCAAACCACTCTCAATCCTGACTTGGAACAGCAGTACTGTTTCTTAACTGTTACTGGGTCAAAATCCTGGAACTCTCTGCCTAACAGCAATGTGGGTATATTTAAATCAGCTGGATTGCAGTGGTTCATAAAGGTGGTTCTTCACAACCACCTCAGCCATAATTAAGATGGACAATGTTGGCTCAGTCACTGACACCCACATCCTGAGAAAATAAAAGGAGAGTTACAAATGTCAGCGTAGACACATCTCTGGTTCCTGGTTATGTAAGGAACTCGATCGTAAAGCTCCTAAAATTAAAAAAAAACTTCTCTTCAGAGGCCCGTGTTACACAGACCCCAAGGTGAAGCTCACTTTGGACATCTCAGTGCGAATGTGTCACACTTCACTTCATTAATGGCCTTTACAAGTCTGTAGAGTCTTGATCGAGTCTAATTCCCACCCACATTCAAATTAACACTTGTGTCTGTAAAAGGGACACCTGCACCAAGCAAGTAGCCAAGGTCCCTTGCCATTCGGAGAAGAGCACTGATGTTTATAGATTCAGACCACCAAACACTCCTGAAAGAAGTTTAAGTTGGCAAACATAGACACCTGAGTGTGTAGCTATCCAGCTAAATAAACCAGCTACAGTCATTTCTCTGTATCTACGAGGGTTCTGTTCCTGAGAACCCCCATGAATGATGAACTTTGTGAGAGCAGAACTCATTAAAAAATAGGTTGGAAATTAGCTAATAATTGTGGATATGCACTTTTTGCCCGCGGATGGTGAATTTGCGATTTTGCGGATGTAGAGGATTTACTTTGTCACCTAGAATGATATTGCACTGGCATTCAGTCCCTACCCTAGTCTCTAATTAATGATCGACTTGGGTTGTTACATTGCATGTACTACCACTTCATAGACCCAGGTATGTCATATAGGTAGTTAGATCTGTGTTCAGTTTGTTAATAAATAACTATTGTCCTTGCCACACTATGCAACAAAAACTCAAAAGTGGTTGTCTTATAGTAAAACTGTCACTCTTCTGTAGAGTCATCACACTGAAACATTAACTGTTTCTCGCCTCAGATGCTGCCTAACAACATTTCCAGCATCTTCGTTGTTTTGCTTTAATGTTTATTCAGTAGTTACATGTGCCTCCCTGTGAAGCATATTGAGATATTTTACTGTTAAACGTGCTATATAAATACAAGCTGTTGTACTTTGTGTCCTGCTGAGACTGTTTTGAATTTTTCAATTGTTTTAAGGCTCTATGCCAATTTCTTAATCATTTCAGGATTAACCGATAATCTGGTGAAGTTCAACGACAAAGATTCATAAATAAATAACTACAATGGCTCTTATTTTTGAAGCTACAAATGGAAAGCTACATGCAACTGAAAGGCCTTCAGTTCATTCAAATCATTCTTCAGTAGGGTCACTGGACCCAAAATGTCAACTCTCCTTTCTCTCCATAGATGATGCCAGACTTACTGAAGTTCTCCAGCATTTTCTGTTTTTGTTTCAGATTTCCGGCGTCCACAGTTCTTTGACATTGCAGCTGACTTTTGTCTGGCTAAAATGATAGTTAGTGAATTGCAGACATTGATGTCTTTTATATGATGCATAGTTTGAAAAGATGCTCTTTCTTTCTTGCTTGCTTTCTTGCTTGCTTGCTTTCTTTCTTGCTTGCTTTCTTTCTTGCTTGCTTTCTTTCTTGCTTGCTTTCTTTCTTTCTTGCTTTCTTTCTTTCTTGCTTTCTTTCTTTCTTGCTTGCTTGTTTGCTTGCTTGCTTGCTTTCCTTTCTAAAATTCTAAATGACTTGCAAAATTAATTTTTAGATTAACTGTTGCAGTTGCAACTATTGGCAATAAAGTTAAAAATTAAATTGCTTCTAAAATGTAGAAAATAAATCAATATGGCTTTTGTTGACTACAGATGATGAGCTAAAGCTCAGTGAATGATCCATTCTTTCTGCAGGTGAAATGTGGTTATAGCAAAGGAATTTAACTGACAATGTATTTATCTACTAGTTATGATAGTCCCTTTTCAGTGTTATAGCCGTATTAGGTCAGAATGGAATCTTCTTGGGGATTTGGTTGGGCGAGTTCATTTTACATTATAATCTTACTATTTATTCTGCAAGAATGAAGAATGAACTGGGTCTTTGAAAATGTATCTGGAAACATTTTAACTATGCCGGCTCATGCACATTGTCATGCTGTTGTAGTGGGGGTGTGAATGAACTCTTTTATAATATTGACTCTTTTATAATATGATCAGATATGGATTTTCTGCTGCTCTGCGGAATTGAATTTATATAAGCTGTTTGTATTAATAGAACATTAGAGCATGAGCTGGAATTTGAAGTAAAATTGAAGCCATTATTAAAGTTAGAAGTGCAACCTTACTTCACAAAAAAATGCAAACAGAAGCCTATTTCATGAAATAATGCGTTTTTCATAACCGGTTGGTTTTTTTGTTCTTATTCTCTACACCTCTCCAGTTGTACTAATTATTGTGCTTTTAAAAATAAAAACCTTCAGTGTACTACCTTTACAGTTTGTTAGTCACGTGAAATGGATTTTACTGAACCTGATCTCTGGTTTTCACAGGTTGCAGGTGTACCATGAATTACGGGAGGAGTTGGCAAAGGTGAAGACACTGGAAGCCATTGTAGAGGTCAACAAAGAACTTAAGCGGAAGTGTCTGGTATGCCAGAATAAGTTGGGCTGGGAATTTTAACAATTTGTAGCATATATATTTTAAGATTCCTATTGCAGTAAAAGATTGAAAGTTCAAGGGGAAATGGTCTCACAATTCAGGAAAAATAAATTTGATACTTTAAATTGACAGTGCTTGTGAATGTATTTTGTTTTACCATTTGCATGGAGGCATTTACCTATTTTTAAGTGGAAGTGAACTTCACTCAAAGAGAATCTTGCATTAGTAAGTGTTCTAACACCAGTATAGTTTTAATTTGCTTGATACACAAGAACTTGTAGGATTTGTGCTCACTTTCTTGCATTATTCTACATAAGATGAATGTCAGGAAAGCAATCTAATTTATAATGTTTCTGGTCTCTGTAGGCTGAAATATCTAATTGGAAGGAAGAAGAGGCACAAGAAAACAAATTGCCTCTCCCTCACTGGATTTGTCAACCATATGTCCGACCAGGGTAAGGGAGATGTTTTGCAGTGTATCAAAGAATTGCTGAAGTCCAACCTGCTGCCTTCATCGACCACCCACAAACACAGGCATGTTGAGAGCATTACACACTGGGCATGTTTGTAACCTGAGTTGAGGAGACATTGATCTTGACTCTTAGAAGATATACAATTAGTGACCTGCTGTTATCCTCCCAACAGATGTTATAACTGGACAAATCAGATCCCAGTCAGGAACGTGCTTGGTAGATCATAGTTTATTGTGTTTTGGTTTTAACAAAGTGGTCTCTCCATGAGATATAAGCACACAATGCTGCAGATTTTGCTTTAACAACAAACAGAAGTTTATTGCAAAAATAGCAAAGATAAAATAGAATAATCCAAACTACCTACTTATATTACAAATTCAACGGTTTTCAACACACAGTAAAAGTGTAATCCCATTAAACCCACTTAAAAATAAACAAAAATGCTTGTGATTGGTCCTTAAAACTCCCCTTCTGGTACAGTTCCCAAAACACCACATGTATAATACAACAGAATCCCTGTATCTAACACCTCAGTAAGTTTGACTCGCAACTTCAACTTTTTGAATTGCCATAGTTTCTTTCTGGCCAAATGGCCTAATTCTGCTCCTGTATCTTATGGTCTTACGGAGCTACCACACACCAAAGCATCAATATACTCATCCTAAATAACCACTTCCAGATTTTTAATCCGAGCATTTCTGGTCAGCACTAACTAATTTTTCACTTCAAGGTGAAACTAAAAGTTTCAATTATTGGCATTTTCCTTAAGTTAAACAAAAAACAGTTTCCTTTGAGGTCCCATTATTTACCCTGCTAGGTTGCAAATAATCCAAAATAAACATTAGTGTACAAGAGGGGAGGCAATGGCCTAGTGGTATTATCACTGGACTGTTAATCCAGAGACCCAGATAACATTCTGGGGACCCGGGTTCGAATCCCGCCACAGCAGATGGTGGAATTTTAATTCAATAAATATCTGGAATTAAGAATCTAATGATGACCATGAAAATTTTCTGAAGATGGGTCCAGACCCGAAACGCCAGCTTTCCTGCTCCTCTGATGCTGCTTGGCCTGCTGTGTTCATCCAGCTCTACACCTTGTTATCTCTAATCCTTAAAGTGTATTGTGCAAGTCCGTTTTGATTGTGGGTAGGGAATGCTGAGAACAGAGTAGAAATAGGTTGAAATTTTGGTGATGTTCAAAGAAGGGCAATGTCATATCCAACTGCTCATTATAGATTTGCCCAATTTTCCCTTCTAGTGAAGTCAGCACGTAAAATAGTCGTGACTGATATGACATTGATTGAACTGATGTCTATTTTACAGTATCAACGTAAGGGTAGAATTGTCTTCAGTCTATCTACTGACACCTCTTTAAATTGACAGCTAATTCATAGAATTAACAAATAGAAATTAAATGATAGAAAGAGTTGCCTGAGAAAGAAAGCTGTATGGTTACCTCAGCAATATTTCACTTTGATGAGGCATGGAGTTTCTTGACACTTAACATTGTGAAAGACTCGACAGAGAAGGTGTAAAATAGAATCATAGAGTCCTACAGCATGGAGACAGGCCCTTTGGCCCAAACTGGCCTGTGCCAACCAAAATGTCCATCATGCTAAGCCCATTTCTCTGCGCTTGGCCCTTCTAAACCTTTCCTATCCATATATTTATCCAAATGCCTTTTAATTGTTGTTAATGTACCCGCTTCAACCACTTCCGCTGCTAGCTCATTCCATTTGTGTACTTCCGTCTGTAAAAAAAGTTGCCCCTCAGGTTCCTATGTATTCTTTCTCCTCTTACCTTAAACTGATGCCCTCTAATCCTTGATTTCCCCAACCCTCAGGAAAAAGACTGAGTGCATTCACCCTATCCATGCCTGTCACGATCTTATACACTTCTGTAAGATCCCCCCTCAGTCTCCTACGCTGTAAAGAAAAAGTCCTAGCTTGTCCAACCTCTCCCTGTAATTCAGTCCCTTGAGTCCTGGCAACATCCTTGTAAATATCTTATGCACTCTTTCCAGGTTAATAACATCCTTCCTATAGCAAGGTGACCAAAACTGAACACAGTACTCCAAGTGCAGCCTCACCAATGTCATGTACAACTGCATCATAAGTACCCTGACTGATGAAGGCCAGTGTGCCAAAAGCCTTCTTCATTGCCCTGTCTACCTGTGACTCCACTTTCAGAGAACCATGCACCTAAACTCCAAGGTGCCTCTCTTCCACTACACTCCGTAAGACCCTACCATTCACCATGAAACTCCTACCTGGATTTGACTTTCCAAAATGCAACACCTCACACTTGTCTGCATCACACTCCATTTGCCATTTCTCGGCCCACTTTCCCAGTTGATCAAGATCCTGCTGCAATTTCTGATAACCTTCCTCACTGTCCGTGATACTGCCTATTTTAGTGTCATCCACAAACATACTAATCATGCCTTGTGCATTCTCATCCAAAGCATCGATAAAGATAACAAACAGCAATGGGCCCAACACCGACCCCTGAGTCACACCACTAGTCACAGGCCTCCAGGCAGACAAGCATCCTTCCAATATTACCCGCTGCTTCCTATCATCAAGCCAATTGTATCCAATTTGCCAGCTCTCCCTGGATTCATGTGATCTGTCCTTCTGGAGCAGTCTACCATGTGGAACCTTATCAAAGGCTTTACTGAAATCCATATAGATTTCATCTACTGCCCTGCCCTCATTAACCTTCCTGGTCACTTCATCAAAGAACTCTAACAAATTTGTGAGGCATGATCTCCCACGCACAAAGCCATGCTGATTACTCCTCATCAAACCCTGTCTTTTCAAATGCATGTATATCTTATCCCTCAGAATCTTCTCAAGTAACTTACCTACCACAGATGTTAAGCTTACTGGTCTATAATTCCCAGGTTTTTCTTTGCAGCCCTTCTTGAATAAGGACACAACATTCATTACCCTCCAAGACTTCACCCATGGCTAACGATGATGCAAATATATCAGCTAGGGCCCCTGCAATTTCTTCAGTAGCCTCTTGTAGGGTTCTTGGATATATTTGGTCAGGACAGGGAGATTTATCCATCTTCGCACATTCTAATACTTCCAACACCTCCTGTCATATGATGTGGACTGCCCCCAAGATATCGCCACTAACTTCCCCAAGTTCCCAAATCTTCATGTCTTTCTCCACGGTAAACACAGAGGAGAAGTATTCATTGAGGACCTCGCCCATCTCTTGCGATTCCACACGTACTTGCCCACTTTGGTCCTTGAGGAGTCCTATTGTCTCTCTAGTTACTCTTTTTCTTTTAACATACTTAAAGAATCCCTTTGGATTCACCCTAATCTTCCCAGCCAAAATATTGGAAAAATACTTAGAGAGAGGCTTGGAACATGGAACATTGTTTGGCTTGAACTCTCCTCCTTGAGAAGATCAATTATTTTTTCAATGATTAAAGGACCTTTCTAAGCAGATTCAGCATTAAGTGTTGGTCATAATTAAGTGTTTCAATCAAAATGATTTACAGTGAAGAAAATATTGTTGGAACAACAAAATAATAGATGGTTCTTGCTGTCTTTGGTTTATGTGCTTCCAAATCCTATAGAATTGTAGATAACAATACAGTTTAATATGGTATATAACTAAAATGAACCATTTAATTATCAAATAAACAGATTGGCAACAATAGGTAGCAATGCACACTCAAAATACTTGTCTGTTTCTCTCACGCCTCGGTGTCAGTCCTGTCTGAGTGCAGCTATTATTTGAAATTATTCTGATCATGACACTTACCTACAATATGCATAATCACTGGATCATTTTCATTCTTGTTAGGGGGTGCCATTTTTTGGATGAGAAGCTCAGTTTGCACAGACCTCTGCCCTTTCATATCGGCATGGCAATCAGACACCAAAATGCTGATTTCTGCCATATAGTGCTGTAAATCATATCACGGAAGTTGACCGTGCCAAAATTCATGTTTATGCCTAAAATGAGTAGAAGTTGATCCCTTTTCTACCAATATATTCAATGAGGAATTGACATCAATTTTCCACTCATGAAATGAATGTTCCAGTCACCTTTGTATATTGGCACATGGTATTAAGCAGGTAATATTGGTCATATTGCCATAACATTGAGTAGGTGCTTAAGGCATATCCACACAGCAGACCATACACAGTGAACAACAAACTGAGATAATCCTCCAGGAAGAAGAATGAAACTGATTTCAAGCCAGAAGTCTTAACTTGCCTAATAACTTCCAAACTGAGAGAATTCAGAGTTAGTGAACAACTGGAGCCTGAGAACAGGAACTAGTCTCTGGCCTGATCTCAAGAAGCACATAGCGGAATAGATCCTCGCAAATTGTCAGAATGGTTATATCATCAACAAACATCCAATGGGTATATATATGCTTAGTGGACATAAACAAACTTCAAATCCAATAAATATTTCATATAACAGCTGGTCTGTGCAGCTGGCTTATGAAACAAAATTGCTAGTGGTGCAACAGAAAACCAAGATTGCTCAGAGACTACCAATAGACCTTAATGCCAAAATTAGCATTTCCAGCAATTCAATAGACAGCAGCAAAAGAATGTATCCATTATGCCATAAGAACAACTTGGGTGAAACGCCCGTGAGTTTCAATATGCCCAGTAGGCAAACTGTGGAGCGGAAAGGTTCAGAACTATTCTAGTGAAAACTACAAGCCATGTGAAGGTATGATTCTGGTGGCAGTAGCTTGTATGTTGATGAAATGGAATTAAAACCTATGATAATCTTCAAATGTAAAACGATATTGTAAATCAAGTTCCCTACAGGAGCATTTGTGCATGTCTATAGCAATGATTGGATAGATGTGGTGAAGATTAATGAGAAGCCAAAGGATTGGGAAGCCTTAAATACCTGCAGAGGACAACTAATAAATATGAGGATAAGCTAGCTAGTGATATAAAAGAAGGTAGCAGAATTTTTTTTTAAGAT